CTCATTATGTTATACTTTCTAAATAACCTAGGATTCGGTTTTGTCATTCTGCACCGCTGAGGTGACTAGTCGCATGAACCGTGCCGTCCTGGAGAAATTCGAGTTGCAAGGTGGTACATCTCCCTCCGATCCAAACGATCTTATAATTGATATATTTACTTAAATGTTCTTATGAACTGATCTTGTTGAGCTGATGCGAGATTGGTGTAAGTTATGTTGTCGTCGTTGTTTTATTTGGTGATCTGGTTGATCTCACAATTTATATCTTGTAATTGTCTGGTGCGGGATACTTGGAACACCTCGGCACAGCTATTCCGAGCAAAATCCTTCTCGACCAACGATGACATGATAATGGGGAATGAGTAGGACAAATCCTCAAGTCGCAACACTGAACATTTACACTAACCTGACCTATCGATGCTAGTTGCAGTACAACGAGGAGAAAGAAAGAAGAACTGGGGCCTATATTGAAAGGCTGACCATCTGAGTAAGTGCAGAAACTTCATGTAATTAGGAAAGAGTAATAATAAATAGGCGCAAAAACTAACCTGGTCTGCGAGTCGAATAATCGACCTGTCATTGGGAAATCTTTTCTTGAACAGTTTTATACATTCTCGTGCAAGCTCCCATTGTTCCAGAAGCATAAGCGACCGCGTAAGTCTCCATAGTGCTTTAGAATTACCTGGATAGAGAAGTAGCGCCTAAATGATCGAAACATATTAGTATATAAAGCCCAAGAAAACGGGAAATAACTGTGACGGGAAATAATTCCCAAATTTGTCAACATAGCTGAATAATTACGAAGTTCCGAGCCGATTGTGTGTATAAAAACAAATACATGCGAGTCTCTAAACCTTTGGACTTTGCTTTAAGGTTTCTCACAACAAAGATGCTGCAAATAAGTCGTACGAAAAAATTTATCCCTGCTGAAGCATTCATTCCGTATGTTTATTTCTCCATTCGTTGGCACATCGAACAACATGGTTGAGGTTTATGTGTAGAGTACCCATCGCATTTCTGGTCCATTTCTCATAACGATATGTTCAATATCATAAAGAAATACGACCTTCATAACTACGATACGGCAAACCATAGAAATCTCATTATATTACATTTTCTAAATAACATAGGATTCGGTTTTGTGCTTTAGAATGCTTTAGAATTACCTGGATAGAGAAGTAGCGCCTAAATGATCGAACCATATTAGTATATAAAGCCCAAGAAAACGGGAAATAACTGTGTTAACAACTTTGTATCCGTTAGCATACTATAGTATGAGCTGGTTGTGCAGTTGAACTTGGAGGTTAAAAACGCGAAATATCAATCGAATGTCAAATGATTTCCACTGAACAAAACTGAGGAAGAAAAAAGTTCAGTATTCGGACTTTGATCCCATAAAATCGCGGATAGTATCGTATTGGGTTGCTCGGAAAATAACGTCGAATTTGTTACTTCATTTTTCCTGCATACGTTTTAGCAGTAATTTTCCTTAAAATGCTTTACTATTACATAACTCTGTGAAACTTATGCACTTTCGCTTCGTACAATTGAATGATAAAAACAAATTGAGTTCTTTTTACAGCTTTACAGTTTACAACATCAAATGTCAAGACGGCAAACTTCATAAACCTATTTCCATGAGTTCCAACTGTGAACATACGCAGCGCAAACGACTTGTAATACTAATGGGTCATGGAGCCACGAAAACGTTAAAGGAAGTGCGTTGCTTTGGAAAATGTGGTCGTGGCGAATTCGATCTTAAAGATGAAGGAGGTCACGAACACTCTTTTGCTATTGATGACTACGAGTCGAAGGGTTTGTTGGAAGCAAATACACACAAAGCTGAACATGTAGAAGAACTCTATGTACATCAATTATTCCAGAGCATCCAATGATGTGTGAAAAGTCGAAGAAGCTCGACAATGGATGCCATATGAAATGAATGATAATCAGAGAAACTGCCAATGCGAGGTATCGACGGCGCGTCTTCTGCGTAACCAAAACAACCTGTTTCTCAAGTGACTTGCGATGTGTGACGAGAAATGGTACCTCTGTGATAGCCAGCAATTATCGGCTCTGTGGTTAGAAAGCCACGACTCCCCGGAACACTGCCTAAAGCTGAAACTGCACCAAAACAAGGTCATGCTCAGCATTTGGTGGTTGCTACCAATTTGATCCATCACAGCTCCTGAATCTTGGTGAAGCGGTTATACTACAGGAAAGTACATCCAATAAGGGATAAAATACACCAGAAAATTTTCAAAAGATACGCCATGCATTGGTCAGTAGAAAGTGAGTTCCTTTTCAATGATAGCGTGCTTCAACAGGTGCAACAACCGACGCTGCAAAAGTTTAACGAGCTGAGCAATGAAACTGTGCTTCATTCATCATAATGCATGGCATAGCTGCCAGATCTCTTGCCTATCGACCATCATTTTCTCAGAATGTTGATAAGGTATTTTGCTAGAAATGCTTCAGAAACCAAGCCGACGCTGAAACTGTGTGCAAAGACTTCATTGCCTGTAAAAACCCAGAATTTCAAGTAATCGCTACCAGTGAGTGAACTTGTTTCTTGTCGGCAAAATTATGTTAGTTCAACTAAGATGATGCTGAGATATTCGCAAAACTCTGGACCGCAGGTGTCTGCAAAGGGGGGGCTATTGAACGCACTATTACCCTTCCCGGGGACTAACGCTTTCACCACCAGACCATGCGGGTCCTTCGTTTCGCCTGTCTCAGTTAGCCGTATCGATCGGCGCCATCAGCAATTACTGCCACCCGTAATAACATAATTAACATGAAAAATTACGATAGGCAGTAAATAAAAAGCTAACCTTGTGATTTCGACTACAGCCTCAGCTTAACTGGGTTCGTTGCCAATTTGGGCTCCCTGGATTAATCCCGTTGACGGGTGAGTGCTAATGGTGCCGATCGATAGAAATAGCTGCGAGAAAGGCGAAACGAAGGACCCGCATGGTGTAATAGTGAGCACGTTACTCCTCGGAAAGGACAATAGCGCGTTCGTTCCCCACCGAAAACATCTGCTGTCCGGAGTTTTGCAAATATCTCAGCATCATAGTGGTTGTATCACACGTAATACCCTATCATAAGAAATTATAATAGGAAGTAAATAAAACGTTAACATTGTGATGCTGAGATGTTTGCAAAATTACAGACTGCAAGTGCCTACGGTGGGGATCGAACACGGTATTACCCTCCACGGGGGCCAACGAGTTCACCTACACACATTGTGGGTCCTGTCTCTCGTGTTTTACAGATGCTATCAGCAATCACCCATTAACGGAATTGATCTGGGAAGCACAAATTGGCACTGCACCTAGTTAAGCTGTGGCTTTAGTCGAAATCACAACGTTAACTTTAAGGAATAATAAGTTAACTGGGTTCAATGTCGATTTGTGCTTCCCAGATCAATCCCGCTCACGGGTGGAGCGGCAGGGTGATTGCTGCGGCAAAAGATCGACAGAAATAGATGAGAGACAAGCGAAACGAAGGACCCGCATGGTGTGGTGGTGAACGCGTTACTCCCCGGAAAGGATAATAGCGCGTTCGTTCCCCACCATAGACACCTGCGGTCCAGAGTTTTGCAAATATCTCAGCAACGTTGTGGTTGTATTCCGCTTAGTACCCTGCCGCGAAATTATAGTAGGCAGAAAATAAAAAGGTATAATATCTCAGCATCATTGTGAATGTATTTCACATAATACCCCGCCGTGAAAAATTGTAGTCCATAATGAATGAAAAACAAAGACTGCGTTAATTCAAATCGTTTCAATGTAACCACTTTTTATTTACTGCCTATTCTTTTTCAATGGTAAGGTATGATGGGAAATACTAATACAGTAAGGCTGAGATATTTGCAAAACTCCGGACCCCAGGTTTCTGCAGCGTGGATCGAACCTCGTTATTACCCTTTCCGGGAGCAAACGTGTTCACCACCACACTGTGCGTGTCCCTTTATTTCGCCTTCCTCTCGTTTTATTTCGACTGGGAGAGGTAATTCTGAGCTGAGCGGCGTGTCTAGTGCATTGGTTAGAGGGGCTCTGTGATGCACATGGGTTCGATCGCGCACCCCAAGCTTCCAAACCTTCCATCCCTCCGGTGTCGGTAAATTGGTACCAGACAGAATGGCAATATTGCCTCGATACATCGGTAGGCCACCGCGAGTCATTGCATAAGCCATATCTTCATTCAACCATGTCTAACGATGCTTATTGAAGCCGAATGCGTGACAGATTCCTCGGAGACTGATCAACAACGACAGCTCCACTATTTTATCCTTTATTCTGAGCTCGGATATTCCACTTTGAAACTACATATTGGAATCTAATAATTTTTCAAATTCCTAATGAAACCTTGTCGAAGACATCTCTCCTTATTCCAAACCTTCGTTTAACACAAGAAAATGGAAGTCAACGGGTTCCTCATCCGTCTGTAGGCGTTGAACAAAGAATACTACGAGATCTCCGTGTTCAATGTTGTTTTTGAAAAAGTTTTCATAATTAACTTTAAAAACATAGGTTAACACCTTGAAGAGAGGAATGTTTTCTAAGAAAAGACTAACACATGCAATATTCAGCTGGAGTTTTCTGTCAACATCTTCAACAAACAAATACGTAATTATCAAGGGATAGCGAAGTATATCTAAAGCAAAACGTATATGAAACTTTTACAATGCAAAAACTGGGAAACAGGAGAGAAGAGTGGTAATGGATCAAGAGGATATGAGGAGATCCCTCAGAACAGAGGTGTGTGTTTGCAGCTCCAGATGAGCATTTGCGTACGCATACTATGCATAACGAAGCAGATAATCTTCAAGGACTAGTAAAAGAGAATGAAAAAAGTGGAATTGTGGTCAGGACTGCAGAATCTGTGGCTGTTATTCATATATGTAGTTTTACAGTTACCTCACCTTGATAACCAACTATTTGCTAGCAAGTAGCAACCATAAAATGTTCACAAAGAGCTTGATCGTTAATAACTTAATAATTTACCTCTACACAATCACGAACACATGCATAAGAGTCGCCTTCCCATCTTCGGCAAAGATAACCCATACCACGATTGGCAAAAAGTATGCTTCGGTCGTAGTCACCACCTGAGAGCGCAAGAGCCCTACTGTAGATTTCGATCGCCTAAATGACTAAGGAAATCAAATTGGTCTACCTCAACGTAAGACTTTGAAATGGCAAAAAAACAAAAATACCCAGAAGTATTAGGAAATATGTACAAACTAAAAGATAGAGAATCATAACGCTAAACCTCGGGAAATTTCTTGGAATCGAAAAGCACTTTGGCCTGCTCTCGAGCAACAGTAAAAGCCAAATTGTGTTTACCATAGGTAGGGACTGAAACAAGATGTGAAGTAACTAAACTAACTAACTAAAAGAAAAAAAAGGAACGGAAATTCAAAAAAGACTGTGTTGAGCCGACAGAAGGCATGAATGAATTATTACTATCAAAGAAGCGAAAAAATATAACAAAATGGAACATCGAAAGATTATGAGCAAACACTAAGCGCTCGACAAGAAGGAAAGAAAGTGTTGTTCCATTGGAAATAGGAAAAGAGTTATTTTTATGAACATTTCAAAGTAGCTCTAACCAGCACTCAGTGGTGCATTTCGGCGGTTATTTCGTATTTTGAAAACCGTTTTCGGTACTCGACCACAGTGCAAGATATCTTGTACTCGATATTGTCCTGGTACTAAACTGGTCATATGGTGGCAAATCACCCTCTGATATCCACAAAGGCCGCTACAGCCTGTGGTGGTGACGACTTGGAGCAGACTTTGGCTAGGCTGACCTTAGGACCCGGGATAATCACAATGGCTAAACCAGTAAAACTCAGTGAGAATTGTGCTGGGGCCGGCACAATCAGTGAACACGGGCCATTCAAATATCTAAATTACTGGTTTAATGATACTTGTACCTTTAGCAGCCTTAGTTTTTAGCATAGGACCAAATGTAGTTGACAACGGAGATTCTACGATAATACACGTAACAGTTGTTGCAGAATCGATAAAAAAAAAACTAGAATGGTACAGGGTCGTCTCTTCGGAAAAAATCTTACGGAAAGCTGCATGTCAAGCAAAAGTTTAAGCAGATCCTCTCACCTTCAACATCGCTCTCGATAATCGATTTTATTTTCTGTAAAACTGTAGGTCGATCATCCGATTTTAATTTGAATAAATATATAGGACCACAACCCTGATTCACCTAGAAACATTGGCACTGTCAGCATCGCCACTTCTTTTATTACACATATGAATAGTGTAAAAGATATGTCGAAAATTATAGAACCAATCACAGCATGAAGAAATATCCCATAACCTCCATCGATTTCAAGTAAGGTCATTCAATGAAAACAAATGTGGTACTTTCTCCAGAAATGTTTCGAATTTCAAAAATGGTGATGAAACGATTGAAAGTTGAGGGCCACATCCGGAATTATTAGATAACATAAACAATAAGGAAAAACATATATGAAGAAACTTACCAGACACTCCGTACCCATCTCATCGAATGAGACGTGAGTGGTGTAAGTAAAATTACCATGACATCTGTCATCAGCTAAGAAAACAATGATAATTCAGGAAACAAAAACATAGAAGAGATTGTCTCGTACCATTCACACACGTCAATATTGGCTTATCCGGTTTCCTTCTGTCGTATATTGGAACAGGAGCTTCATCCGTAGCAACAGCCATCTGATACATTGAAACCTATCCATTCAACCTTGATGGTAAGTAACTAATTTCATACCAATTCAGTCCGTCCTTGACATATTGCGAATGACTTGACACGCTTCTCATCCATATTGATAAGCTTCTTTTCTTCATTTGTTCGAGTATCGTACTCTCTAAAAAAGAGGCAAATGGTAAATGACAAACACACGAAGGTGCATCTAAGAAATTTTCAGTTCGAAGGAATTTTTCCTAAACAAACCTGACATGGCTGTCTTCCGCAGCCGACCAGAACAAGTATGGCTCGTCTTGAGCAGTTGCCAAGCGTTTCACTCTTCCACCCGTTTTCCAAGTGATTGGCTCCTCTGAGAGATGATAAGTTCAAAAACTTGCATCGTTATGTTAAGAATTTTAGACACACGGATGAAATTTTGTTAGAAAGAATTAAATCTGAACTAAAGTTCAAAGATATTGGTAGTATCCTTCTACCTCTACATCCATCAATGTCATGCATCTTTACTAATCGATCTCCTGCGGCCGATATGAGTATACGGTCATTTCCTGAACGAACTATGCCTTCGTTTATAACAGTAAATCAAAGATGACTTCTTACATTTGAGATCAAGTATGAAGCAAATTCTACCCCACAGCGTTATATTATGGACAAACAACAATTTCTGTAACTTAGGCTAATAGACATGTCGACAAGCCATAGGAGCTTACCCATGCCTTGCTCTTGGATACTCAATCACGTAGATTAATTTACTCATTGTTACCAAAAAACAAAAACAACGATAGCCCAAAAGAGTTGAACCACTCTGATTCATTTAACTTTTTATTAGATGATTATTATTTTTCCATGGCAGGGTATTATGTGAAATACAGCTACAATAATGCCGAAGTATTTCCAAAACTCCGAACTCCAGCCTAGCTTCGAAACCGTGATGACCCTTTATTGAGGCGTCCGGAAAGAGTAATCGTGGATTAAAAGCCGGCATGGGATTGGAAGTTTTGCAAACATCTCGGAAGAGTTGTAGTTGTATTCAGATTTAACGTGTATGCAAATCGTATCTTGGAATAACAGTTTAACGGTTTTCCACCTAAACGCTTGTGTGTACAGTCATAAACTATAACCGATGATATAACGAAAACTGCCTCACAGGTAGCTGATTTACCTGCAGGCAAAAACTCAACAGCAAATACGTTCGCATGGTGGCCAGTGTCCACTGACGTGAGGCAGTCTCCGGCCAGATTCCACACTTTAATCCTTCGATCATCAGATCCAGATGCTAACAAACTGAATTAGCCAGGAAAAATAGAGCGTGTCCATACCAAATACTCTTGCAATTATATGAGAAATTCTTAGTGTGACGAGTACAGAATCTTACAAAGATATAAGTGAAATTGTAAGAAGAATCTAACGGACTTACGTGCCACCACGATTCCATCTCAGTGTATTTACACATGCCTCGTGTGCCTGAAGAAAAAAGTTTCCACCTAGAAGGAAAGGAAGATACACAAGATATTACAGGGTTTTCAGATTGCTAAAGAAGCGAAGTGTCCTCAATTCTAAGGCGCGTGTGGCGTAGTGGTCGGAGGCGCCCTGCGATACACACATGGGATCGATCTCCGCGTCCGTGGCTCACCAAGCCCTCCATTCCATCAGGATCGGCAAAGTGGTACCAGAGTTGCCTGGGAGGATAGCAGCACTGGCTCGATACATCGGCAGGCCACCATGGGTCAGTGTAAGGGCCAGATATGCATTCAATCACCTCCAACAATGCTTATTGAAGTCGAAGGCATGGCGCGCCAGGGATTGATCAATGCCGAGAGCTTCATGGTTTATCCTCTATTCCGGTTCTCCATTGTAAAAGTTAACATTTCCACTGCAAGGAAACTTAGTGCTCACTAAAATCTAGGGTGTAATGAAGTTTATTTTTCTTGAGCGTTTTCGTCATTCATTACATTATTCAGACATCCTGTGTTCGCAAACACATTCATTAGTGAAATGCATTACAGAAAAACTGTTTCCAATGCATTACTAAAAAGGACTCGAAGAATTCATTAAAAAAACCATCTGGCAAAATAAAATATCTCTATAGGGCTCGCTAAGACTAGCCAACCTTAATTGTTCGAGTATTGTCAAGTCGCTGAACCAATCGATCCTCATCCACAAGTCGGTAGCGCTCCGGAAAAAAGCCGACTATCTCCCTATTGTCCAATAGCATTGTAGTTAAATAGGAGATGAAAACCAAAACGAGAGCCTTCGGTCTGACAGACCACTCTGACGGCTGAAATCCAATCCAATTCAATCACCACCGATAGTTGAAATACGGCCGAACATCAACAACGATGCTTCCTCAGCTATTTACTGCGCGGGCGTTGAAAAGCAGGGAATCATCGCAGCATCAATAGAGGCTCGTGAATTCAGGCATACAGAAATTGTACAGGAACAAGCAATCCGTTATGAATACGTTAAGACCTTACGAATCAACAATGCAGATGGAACCACCGGTGTATATCGCTATATCGCATGTGTTGGACGTAGTTTTTGCTCAACACATCCGCAGGACCGTTACTCTTGGGGCGCGCCAGCACGGCAGCAGGCGATTAGTGAAGCACAAGTAAATGAACATTGAGGTTACTGAACTGATTTTCCTTAGGTCATTCAAGAATGACGTTCAAAGAGAGGAAGCATTGTGTTCCTGATCCTGTCCTGAAATCCGTGGAACCTGTGGAGATATTCGAGCAATCCCACTTTTTTTTGCAAATCAATAGCGCTCAGTATGGACACTACAAAGTCCATACGGGCCTGAACCAGGGTACAGTATGGACGCGACAGTGTCAGTTAAAAGTTTTGTGTGTCCCTGAGTTTCTTTTCTTATCACACTATGCATATTTGGTAGCTCATCGAAAGCTGATCAAAGCAGTACAGGAGAGACCAGACAGACCTTTCCTTATCCTTAGTGGTTTACAATGAACCTTTCTTCGAGAATGTTCATCTATAGGTAATTCCACCAGAAATTAACTTGTATAAAAAAACTGTTATTTCATTTTAATCATTATTTTCATCTTACGGAATGGGCGGATATAAAAACGAAAACAGAAATAGACTCAACATATGGCGCTGAATACTTCCAAGTGCTGACAGCAATCTATTTGAACGGTGGACCATAGTTCTAGCTATCGAAGAATCATCTTTAATCATCAAAAAACCAAGAAGTCCGCAACCAACAAAAAATTGCCCGTATTCCACTCATTGAGCCATAAACGGCGCGCGTCCGTTGTGAGTTAAAACTAGATGAAGTTGACAGATGTTGGACGAGCGAAAAAATCGAAGCAATCAATATTAAGAGTTGCGAGGCGACGCCTAATTTCGCTTTTCAGCCGCACTGTATGGCGCCTGTCTTTTTGTGACGTTCATTGTGAAACCGTTAGACGTCACATTGACTACCTGGTCTTCTAAGAAAGGACTTCTGCAGAGGTCATGTCTCTGCGAAGACATTAAACTGCGGATGTGATCGCGTGTGCAAGAATCAGTGCTATCCTAGGACATGTTAAAAATTCCCCACCAGTATTGATGTGTGAACTTCTTGTCGCGGACAACTCATGATTCCAGACGAAATTCAACCACCTCGATAAACAATGAGCATGCCAATGGGAAATGTATACCACAAATCCTTAAGCTGCAGCCGCAGCCATACATCGCCCCGAGTATAATCACTGATGACGACTGCAAGACGACAAAATGAACGGAGGAATCGGTGGGCTTACCATCACATGTTAAGATGAACCATTTTCATGTCTAACATTAATTCATATTATTTTTTTCAATAAGCACAAGGCCCTGGTTCGATCCCGCTCCGGAGGGCTAGCCAATCACCTCCCACTCCTTTCGATCTATAAAGGCTGGAGACTGCTCGTGGTGAACAGCTGAAAACGCTCAGGGCCCAGAAAGAAACCATACCTACACAAAAATCTGGGATGAGTGCGAGAAAGCGGACAAGAAAGAACTGTTGAAACCAGCACAATAAGTGATGTTCGGTCATGTTAAAAAAAATCATATTTGGTTGTTCTTAAGTGGTTTGACGAAGATAAACGCAAAAAAGTCGTCGAATAACAAAAGAACTTGAAAATTAGTGCAACTTTATTGGTTCTAAACGTGTACCCTTAGTAAGAGCAGTTTTTTTTTTTATAAAACACGACATTTCAACACGTAGCGTAAAAGACAATCGAAAATTGTGTTGATCTGGTAGCACAAAATATTTCAGAGTGAAAACTAGAAGTATCCAAATAAACTCACTATAACTTCGATATTAGTTATTTTTACACCGAAGTATTGCATCACAGCAATTTGTTATCTTTTATTGTATGTTATTGTTGCTGTTAGTTTGTAATTTCTACTGCTCAACGATCAGTGCTTTCAGCGTTCCAAGTGTTGCTTGATCTTCTTGAGCGCGACGTCTCTGAGTTGTTCCAGGAGTTTCTGAAATGGTACACACCATAATCTCTAAATCTTTCGTAACTTGTATCTTCAAGGAAGGAAAAAAATAGAGATTGTACATAAATGGGAATTAGAACTGTCACGAAACCTAAAGGTACCTTTTTTTTCATCAATTTGCGATACTCCTGTAGTTGGGAGAGATTAATTATAGCGTTATGCCTAAAACCACCTATTATTGATATTATCTCGAAAACCGATTTCCTTATGAAAACACTCCTTCCCACGACATCAAATTAGAAGACCTAAATGTGAAATACTTGTAATAAAATTGGTAGCCGACCGAAGAACAAGTAGATGAAAAAAAAAAACAAAAAATACAAAAAAAAATAGTTTTAACTCCCCACACGTGTAAAGTTATCTGTATCACCTGTACACCGTCTTCCGTTGATTGTCGAGTGATTCGGGTGTCACCAAACCTTTCATTTCTCTTTGGCGCTGAACGTTTTTGTAATTAGCAAGGTTTCACAGCACATTGCAAATGCTTCTCCTTGTCTCTGCACCTTCGGGCACTATTGTCGCTTTGTCCTCTCTGTTACCTTATTTTACAGCTTGTCCGCATTGCTTCGCAAGTTTTGATGTATCTCTGCTTTTGCCTGTAGCTCGAACGTCTCCACTCTAGTGTATCAGCTCGACTGTTTCTGGATACAGATGTCTCTTGGTGACCTCCGAACTCTCAGCCTTCGTAGAGCTGCCGTGGTGGTGCATAGGCCTGCCGTATTCTTCATTCATTAACAGCATTTTCCCAAGCACCTACTCGTGATCTGAATAAATTCCAAATCACCGTGGTTTTTGGATTTCATTTCTTGAATTTAGTGGCTATTTCTCCTGTCCGCTGAAAGTGGAACCTTACACGGAGACAATGGTCCGATACCGAATAAAACTTAGGGAGAACAAGCTAGATAAAATCTTCGATTTACTACGATGCAGTCAACTTCGTTATGGCAGTCCCCATTGCCAGACTCCTACGTCCAGCTTTGAGAGCGGGTCTTCTAGAATTATGAGTTACCATACACGATAACTTAAAAAAATTCACTTTCTATGAACCCTGTGCCTACTCTTTTTAACGGCAGGGTATACATTGTGAAATACAACTTCAATGATGCTGAGATATTTGCAAAACTCCGGACCACAGGCGTATGCGGTGGGGAAGGAATGCGCTATTGTCCCTTCAGGGGTGTAGCGCGTTCACCACCACACCATGCGGGTCCCTCGTTTCGCCTTTCTCGCAGCTATTTCTATCGATCAGCACCATCAGCACTCACCCGTCAACGGGAGAAAGATCATGTCACATGTCACAGAACATGGCACGAAAAATAGTCACGTCCAGTGGCTACGAAACAGAAGCCACTAGGATCAGACCAAAATGTAGGATTATACCATAAATCAATGTTTGTAACCTAGGCAAGATTCCTTTCAAGCTACCCTTCATATCAAACGAAGTAAGTTAGGCTATCAAGAGCTGCCTAAGACGAAGTTTTCAAAACTCCGTATCAATTATTGACCTCCCACTCCATACCACAAGCTGTCAATTAGTCCATACCGTCTCTATGGTCGTTTGTACAGCTCAGAAAACTGTGCAATCTGTCTTGACACCAGAGAGAGAAATTGTATGAGTTCAGGTACAATACACTAAATCTCATGCAAGGCATGAAGGCTGTGAAGAATACATAGGCGGAACGGATAGATCACTTTACGTCCGTATAAAAGAACATCCACATGAGATAAGATGGGTAACTTAAAATCCGAGGAGGTACTACTCTACGTATACACTGGGCACTAGATAACTGTGTGGATTTTGAAGTGACTATCAGAATCTTAACAAAGGTATCAAAAACATTAATGACCGGCTCTTGAAGCGTTTTGGACAGATCCCAAAAGTCCAAAAATGAACCGAAAAGACGAATGCGTCGCGGCTACACTTTTCTCAGCCTAATTTTTGATCTGAATAAATTTCACTCGTCATCCTATGCGAACAACACAAGGGTGGTCTCACATCTTACAAAACATTGAGTAGGTTTCAAACAAAGTGGTGTTCGTTTATATAATAAATCTCGATTAATACTACAAATAATTAACCGAACTATGTAGATGGCGTTACATGAAATACGCCTAGGTTTCGAAGAAAGTGAAATCGCCGAGACGTCTGCCATCGAACCACAACGGCAATAACTGATACCAATCTCGTTTAAGTTCAAGGGCAGATCGTAGGAATTAGATACCATGGATGGTATTTCTCGTCATGATAAACTCAGAGTCGCTCACCCTGCTCGTTTCGTTCCATTCTCATCCATGGGTTGCAGTGTGACGCTTTTCAGGTCCAATTTTCAGGTTCATGGAGGAACGTACGATCTTCTCTTTAGTTACCCTCAGAGCCCATATAGAGTGCCTCGACCTCATCCCCATAATAGCTCGATGTCGATGCGGAAACGACTAATATTGTCAAATTCGGTATTGATCCACACTCTTTAACTGTAAACGTCCGATTCTAGTTGTTAGCAGCTCGAATGAACGACTTTCATGGACAAACTCGTGTTGACGGGAATGCCGACGCCACCGGCTCCTCTACTGTCGCATGTGCTGAGAAAAAGTTCCTCTCCGGTGCCATAGATGGCGTTCAATGGACAGCGTTTTTTGCTTTCAGCTAGTATGATTATGTTGTACCTTTTCCTTTTTACGTTCAGGATCACATCCTTTATCAAGGATTCAGATGCAAGTGAGCGTGTATTGTAACTACAGATCGTCACCTTAGTCCAACGAGTTATAAGCAAACTAGAACAGCTCTGAGATTTTAGCACCGTATCCGTACTCTTCCTACTCAACGTGGTCGTATCGAGGCTTTTTCGGGATCATGAGGTCAGGGAAAAGAGGCCCACTTATTTTTTTGTTTAGCAATTAATACCCACGCATATCCCGCTGAGCTGTGAAAGTGGGGAAGGGTTGTACACATGAGTAGCTTTCCAATTTCACTCATACACGAAACAGAGCTTATTTCTTGGAGGCGACTCCTAACCGCTTCCCAAACTTTTCAGTCACTTGACTGCAGGATTTTGACCGATTTTACTCGTAGATTACAATCCACATAAAGGGAAACACACCCACGCAAGCATACATGAATACGTCTACATAAACACAGAATGTATGTGTTAAATTGGCAAGGCAGAAATAAGCAGTCCGTCTTCTGGATCCAACTGCGTCTCAGGAAATTACAAAGCCGCTTTGTTCCGCAATTAACCCCCTATCAGCTACCTGGGGATGCGCCACGTTGCCTTGCCACTAACCGTCAGGAAGGAGGTTAGAGAGATCCGTAGCTCTAAGCGGATATGTTCATATCTTTTATCGTCAAATGGACGTGCAGCGCAATGATAGTTATGTCGGCCATCACGATTATTATGTGAGTTCGACTCCGTCCCTAGCTCACCAAGCCTTTCGCCTCTTAGGTGTGCACCAGAATTGTCTGAGCCCAAGTCACTTCCCCAACTTCACGCAGATCCACTCCACCAGCATTAAACGACATTGATAAAGATGATGACAATCCTTAAGCAGTATCCGAACCGAAGTGCGAGAAGTCCGAAGACCTTCGTGGATGATTTATGCGAGGAAGTGAATGGAATGAAATAAATGGCGGGATCGGCACCGTAAATATGAAGATAGGTTATGTGGAAAAATTCTACAGTCAAAAGGATACCTCGTATCTAAAATAATGAGCAACGTAGAGGAGCGGGAAACCAACTTGCTTGCAAGCGCTTGCTGCAGGCGAAGATCGTAATCATAAAGCTCATGACAAGCTGCAATGTGTTCATTATAGATTTGTTCCGAGGCTTCCTCGCCGATGATTGGGTCAGCTGGCTGCAATTTTGCCATTTTAAGAAATGTAGCAAATTTCAATAATCCAATTTTAAGTAGAACAGAATATCAGGATTGTAATAAATGGCTATTAGATTAGAAACGTAGACTACAAACGCTCACGCGCAATGAATGATCTATATAATCAAGTACATTCGTTGGCATTTGGTGTGAATGTGTAGTGAGTCGGGGTACGTCATTTCCCGCTTTTTCGCAGCATGACTTTGATCGGTTATTTCTAATATGTGGTGGTACGCCATCCCCATCCAGCATGGAAATATCCCGTGGAGAATCCTGAAATGCAAATTAAGGTTTGTAAAATAATACCGCAAACACAAAGCTTAGAATTTTCATAGCTATTTTAAACTTAACTGCTCACTAAGAGAATGCAGAGAATGACTTACGGCTTGAATCAATGTTGATTGGTCGGATCGTCCTCTTCTATGGCACTGGTGAGCAGATGTTACCTTGAAAAGTAATTTCAGAAAATATAACGACGGGTAGTAATACCTAGGAAACAACCACACACAATATTTGGCTGAGGTGTAACTGCTGGTTCATTTGTTCTTGTATCAATGAGAGAATCGTCACCATTTGGATAATCCTGCAAGCGAAACGGTTGTTCGTATTAATGTTAGTGACTAAAATACAATGGATATAATAATAACAAAGTAGAATTCTTAAAGGACAACTACAAAGATTTCCAAAAGAACGAAATTCACATTGGTATAAAAATCGGTAGGTATATCACATCTAAAGGAAGGCTTTGAAAGGAAGGAAGGCTTTGCCTTTGAATAAGGCTTAGGTTGTGCAATGCTACCTGTTCCTCTCCTTAGAACTGACAAAAACATAAAGACACTGATGTTCTCACTACGGCTTTGATGGAATCTAAACAGCCGTTGTGCTCTTTATTGGAAAATATACTCATACATTTATCCGTTACTGAAACTGACATAGTTCTTATTGGTAATAGCACACCTTGTGCAAACCATATTACCTACGGAAGCCAAAAGTTAGACAACGGTGACTGATAAATGGCAATGATTAAGTAAAAAGGTGCACAGCTTTCCGACTCTACGATTCTTCCTGTCTTAACACACACGTCGGAAACCTGGGAAACCTGGACGCTACAATTAGACGGATTTGTGGAAGTTCTATCTCATCGTTTTAGAAGTAAACAAAATTTTCACAGAGGGTTATTTTCACTATGCCTTTGAAAATCTGAATATTCAGCAAAGTCGACGGAAATTCAAACACTAAAAATTTCCAGTGTAAACGCACTTAACAACAAATACCGGCCTAGCATTTTGAGATATCACTGAGTCCTGCTTGCTGAAGTACTTCATTATTTGATGTACGAGTCTCCAAGAAAAAAACGAGCAAGCTCATGTGCTCCATAAAAGAAAGAATTTTCTTGTTAAGTCAATTTGTTGACAAGAATCTGTGGAATGTAACGATTTTTATCCTAATTAATCCAAATTGAGCCTACAAATATCTGCTTAAAATTGTCGGATTAAAACAATTCGGAGCATATGTAAGTCTTATTCTTCATACTGCCATACGAAGTCAAAAGCAATAGAATCCACAGATTCTTCTAATTGTAGAAAGATGAAAATCTGATTTTCTGGAATCTACAGCACGTAGCTAAGCGCTTTTTTCGTTTCGGGACTTCTAAAAGAATGTTATCCTGCCGCCACATGTGTTGAATTTTGAGATTAAAATTCTGTTTTCAAATCCTGACAAAAACCAAATAGTACTTCGAGAGGGTGTGAACAAAATGGTTAGTATATACATGTGTTCACATACACACATACGTATGTATGCTATGTGTTTATGTGCAAATATATATGTACATACTTGTATACATATGCGTATGTATTTTTAGTGCCTTTTCTCATGAACGAAACTTGGACTGGATACATGGATGGCCCACCTTCACTGGTTGTGCGGACCCCAGCATAATCTCCACTTTTTCGGAGTTCCACGGTGCTTCCTTGAAGTCCAACCAGGCCAAAGTCCGCTCCACGTCGTCACCACCACAGATAGTCGTCGCCATTGTGGATCAGAGGAAGATTTGCCATCATGCGGCTAGTCTGGTACCAGGACGGTGATGGATCGTAGCATTGGTTTACGCTTAGCTCGGCTTCCAGATGGAAACGCCGAACTTCTTCTCAGCTTGGGAGACCTTGCCGTAAGGATGAACCCCCGCTGTACATTAAAGCCCGACTCCCAAGAACACCTTCCAGCCACGGTGAGGGGGTAAAGTGTTGGGACGCATGAACGAAACTGGCTATACAAATGCGGAGTCGGTTTGTCATATCGTCTTCGGCAGAGTTATCATAAGATTTTCAGCGCTCAGTCAACATTTAACATGTCAATAAGAATAGTTAATCGGTTGGACAGACGAAAAGGAGGGTGTCAACAGACACGATGTAACAGTTTATGAAAAAACATTCCAAAAAATCCTTCACAAAGGAAGTGATAATATGTACAAATTCTGCGTCACTTCGGACAGAAGGATAGCAAAAAATGCCGTAAGAATAATCAGAAATTGCAGGTTAACAGATAGTTTGTCGCAAACATCTTACATAAAGTGCGAACTCACCTCCTTCAGTAGTGAAAAGTACCTCATTACTTCTTGGCTGTTTGGACGCTTGTTCGGATCATCATGCCAACACCTATTGTACCACCTGCCTTATCATTATTTAAATGAACAAATACAAGAGCAAAATACCGCTCATAGAATCGTGAGAGGACCGGATTGCATGAAATCTGAGGTGGACGTAGGTTTTTCGCCACTATGTTCCAATAAATTGCATAAGCATCGTGTGGGTTTGATGCCAAATACGGTGAGTCACTGAAAAATTTTGTTTCATATCGATGCTGCAATGGTTTTCTTCCGGATTTGGTACAATTACAATTAACCTTTTTTAATCACTAACAACTAATGCGCCACAAAAGCGAATTATTTAACGCTGGAGTTCTAAAACATTCCTACACTGCTCTTGTTCTTCCTTACAACTGAACATATGAGTGATTAAACAATGGAAATGACATACTTGGATACTTACTTGGACGGCTCGTCTTCAGTAGTTGTCGGACCCCAGCATAATTTCCATTGCTTCAGAGTTTTGCTGGTCTAGCCACTGAGTTTGCCTGGAGTCCCGAGGTCAGCCTCGCCAGTCTACCTCAGGTCGTCACCACACAAGCAATCCAGCCGTCGTGGTTCTGAGTGAAATTTGCCACCGTGCGACTAATCTGATACGAGGACAGTCGTGGGTCCTGGTATGGGTTTACTCTTAGCTAGGATTCCTGATGAAAACACTGGACTCCTCATCTTGGGAAATTCTGTCAGAAGGATAATTCCCCGCTGTACTTTGCGGTCCGACACCCAAGAACACTTCCTAGCCACGACGAAGCGGTAAACCGTTAGGAGGGAAGTGATATGAAAGGATAAAATGAGGAACTCAGCGATTTACTCACCGTCGTGCGATTATTTGCCACATAATGATGCCAAAGCTGTAGATGTCGCTTTTCGTGGTGTACTGCTTCGACCCTCTAATGATTTCAGGTGCCATCGTTATTGGTGTGCCTCGGTTCAACGTCATCGATTCGTGTAGAGTCGTAAACGTTCCGTAGTCACAAACTTTAAGAGTATGGTAACGATTACACAACAGAAGACTGAAACATGGAATACATAGGATTCACCCATTGGTTACATCGTCAAGTTGAATGTCAGATCGATTCTTTGAAACAAAAAGAAAGTTGTTCAAATAAGAAGATTTCACTTCTGCAATTTTAAATCTCTATGAACATGGTTTCCGCTGTGGAAGTAGTTCATGGCATCCGACAATTGGTACAGCCATGAAATAGCATGGTCAATTTTGTACTCAATGGTCCTCTTTGTCAGCACTAAACTAGGATCAACAATCATTGTAAGCTTGACTAAGTCAAAATAAAACATACAGTTACCCACAATAAGCAAGGCTGCAGTCCATTAGTTCCATCGCCACACCCATGCCATTCTTCGGGCAGTCATAAAATCCAAAAATCCGAATACAATTCGGGTGCCGGATATGAGTTAGGATGATTTTTGCTTCCCTTATCAAGCTCTCCCTGTGTGAAGGATCAGTGGCATATTTGATAGCAATATTTCTGTAACGGTTTATTTCGACTGTATAAAAACTATCCAGCAGTTCAAACTTTTCTTCCCTCTTGTTCCTGTTTATGACAGATTATTACGTATAATACATCACAATGATGCTGAGATATGAGCAGAACTTGGGATCTCAGTTGAGCTTAGAACCCTGAATTACCTTTTTCGTGGACTCATCTGCTATTCACAAAACCAACCGAGGTCCTTGCTTTGCCGTTCTTTCAGTTATGTGAAAAATGTGGACGATAAACAAAAGGCCTTGGTTTTAGTGTGGTGTATAGCGTGAGAATCCTCGGAAAAGGTAATTGCGGGTTCAAAACCCAGCTGAAGTTTTGAGTTTTGCTCATATTTCCGCACCATTGTGGTTGTATTTTGTGGTGTCCTGAAAGTAAAGTTCGTACAGAAACCGTTTTTAAGCGACTTACTCCCACACCGAATTCGGCGTCTGACGAAATCGACTTTTTATGACGTGACCATAAGTGCCTTCGCCAAGCTTAGTACTGTTGAGGTCGTCAATTTGGCTATAAAACAGCATACACTACGGTAGCGCAGGACTATATTTCAATACTCACTCCATTTTGAACTCTGAGCCATGATAGCTACGATTTCTAGACTTACAAAAAACTTCTACCAAAAAGCAATACCAAATAGTAAATTTATAAATGAGTGGGTGCTTCATAGTGTGGACAAAGTTTTCTTGCGACTGAAGAGTCGTCTGCATAACTCGTAAATAATGTTGAGATATTTGCAAAACTCCGGACTGCAGTGTATGCGGTGGAGAACGAACACGCGCTGTTGTCCTTACCGGGGAGCAGCGCACTTCACCACCACACCATCCGGGTCTTTCGTTTTGCCTGTCTCTCAGCTAGTTCTATCAATCTTTTTGCCATTAGCAATCACCCGTCAACAGGATTGCCGATTTGGGCTCCCCAGATCAATCCCGTTTTCGCATATTTCGCAACATACCCTGCCATTAAAAAGAAGAAGGCAGTAAATAAAAGGGTTAAGACGTCTGCATAGTTTGAGAACATGCCAGAAGCCTGAGAGAGACGGAACAACCAACTAAACGTTTTTTTTCTTAACAATGTACTACCTACACCGTAAACCATTAGTTGCAAAGTAAGACTTACAAAAGAACAAGAAAATAAAGAAACCACTAAAAACAAAATGTACTGGGACCAATTCACTAAATCTCTGCGCGAACGTATGGACTGAACTGGATACACGTCGCACATGAAACTGGTGATCCTGAGCAACAATATTTGAACAATACGTGTATATTTCCCTGGCTAACTCATAAAAACCCTGTGCACTACGGTTGAGCATAGGTTTCAGCTCGTTATGAACTGTTCGCATCTAGAGAGATCCTACTTCACTCACGACCAGTCCGTATGTGGTGTATTTCTTTCGAATGAGACATCAATTCTTTTCTCCTTGAGCAACTTTCTGATTTAAGAGGCGAGGTACACCTACCATAAATACATGTTGGAAGTATCTTTCCATTGATAGGCTAGCACGAGGTTGATAACAAAAACTCTATTCGAGTACGTGACGTATCGGGTTCACAGTTGTTCCTCCTTCCGATGTGTCTTCGTGATGGCAATCCAGCTCAATCCAGCGGAGCACTGCTCGAATGAAGTACACTCGGGAGTGCTCCTTTTTCGGTTGTTGTCGATGCTTACTGTCCAATGATAACTGTTTCGTCTACCTCCGGACATTCCATCGCTCAGCACTCGCAGTCATGGTGAGCAACCCGCAGAGCACAACAATAATTCCAGAAGTACTGAAATGTTCTGAAAGCAGTTTTCCTTCAAATCTTCACTAATGTCCCCATTATTCCGGGACAGGGTTTCGTCGAAGATCTCGCCATTCGCGACATCGCTCTCAAGAGTGATGAAAACGTTGCTCAGCATATGGCTAACGAGCACCTTTGCAAATATGACTTTCTAACTATGGGGCGATTATGCACCAGAGACAATGAGCAAATAACTTCAGTTCGTAACAATGCGGTGGGACAATGGAGAGAATAAAAAAAGTACCTGGGATGAATTTTCGGGATATCAACAGTAGCGCATAGAATGTCACTTTGTCTCGATTTCTTCATGGGATTTCGGTCGTTCGCAGACGTCGATGAGTGCGTAGTGGGGGTTGGTAAAACACCATGGTACATGGCACGACCTATAAGACAGCAGCATGTTTTCAACAAAGTTAAGCATATAGTAGTTTCCATTTATCCACTAATTTGCTTCCCATAATAACTTTAATTCGGGGAAAGTAAACCTGTAAATGGGATGATTAGACGACTGATCTTGTGATTCAACGACTAGAGTACTAATGGCGGACCAAGGAAGTATGTCCATCCGATGGTATCAGAATGTCCGCAGTTTCGCGTAATTCGAGTAGTTTCCCAGTTTCAGAACCGACTCATCAGTGGGGTTGGATTCCGGTATCAGGTCTGGTCTGCTTTTTCCATCTGTGAATTCCGTTGGTCCTGTGTAGCAGCGTGAGTTTTACAAAGAGTTCTTAGGTTTACCAGTCGATCGCTATGGGTGGAGAAGACGAGAACGGTGAACACCACTCAATACAGAACGAAGACCGTAAAGATGTCAGTTTCCGTTCGAATTGCTAACTTCTTCACCTTCAGAAACCAATGTTTCCGGATATTTGAGGGTTTTAGCAATTATAGACATGAAATTCCCAGAAGGTTTCACTGTGTGGAAGACGTGTATTTCCCAGTAACGACAAGTGTAATCTGGATTAAGGCTTAAGATGTAAACAAATGGTCCCGCATATCAAGTACTTCTTTTGGACAGCGTTTCAAAGAAAAACCGTGGTCAAAATCTTTACTTATACTATTGGGCTCATTTATACGTAAGTAGGCTAGCAGTTTCTGTTTATGTGCTTTCCGCGGGCTCCTGTTCGGCATTATGTACAGCGGTGACCTAGTCGCGTTTTAAAAAGCGAGGGATTTTTCGTTGCGCTGTGTTGCCTTACTAGCGATAGAGTTTTTGGGATTAGTGGAGCTGAAGACAGTAATGCGTTGTTTCCGGTGCAGCCCGAAACAGAGGATACGTCTGCTCTATCAGCACACCAAACTGACGGCAAGACTTGTCGCAGTGATTTCGACGGCAGTCAGTGAGAATGAGATTCTGTTCTTCTAGTGTAGTTGTTGTTGATTGTTTTCTAAGTTAGTCTGTGCTGCTGGTCTTACCGTTCAGCGAGAGATCCAACAAGCCAGCAGACAATTCTGGACACTCGGAGCCCGACAGGTTTCCGGTTCGGTCAATAACAGATGACTCGAAGTGGGTTTCTTGGTTCATTGTGTCGAAACGTTAATTTATCGCACCCAATCTGTTGCAGGTGTGAAAGTAACGTTTTCCCGATGTGCGAAAATGGTGTGCTTAACCTGTCACGTCGTGGTTTGAACAAAATTAACCGGAGGTTTCGAAAGGAATATGGCATGTGACGAAAACACTCTTGTTTTCTGGATGTGCTTTTAGCTTAAATTCTGCTTTTTAGCCAATGTGAGGAAACTGATCATTAGCGGAAACATGTTTACCAATGTGGTGGGATTTGATATGTTCAAGCAATGCGTTCAAGTTAGTCAGACCAAGCAGCCTTGATGTATATTGTTAATCCGTGTCTCCTCGTTTCTACGACTTTTCCTAGGTGGACGCGACAGATAACCAGTTAAACAAGCTGACTTGGTTCGTACCGTTTGCAACACAGTTGCGAGTTCTGCTTCTTTCTAATAATGGGATAACGAATATCGACTGTCTACGATCCTTCGTAAATCTTGAAACGTTAGATGTTTCATGCAACGACATCGAGGTAAAGCAGTATTTTTTGAAAAAAATGACTCCTTAACTTTTTTAAATTACTGCCTATTCTTTTTAACGGCAGGTTCTTTGCGAAATATAACTACTATAATGCTGAGATATTTGCGAAACTTCGGACCCACATGGTGTGGTGGTGAATGCGTTACTCCCCGTAAAGGACAGTAGCGCGTTCGTTCGCCACCGCAGAGACCTGCGGTCCGGAGTTTTGGAAATATCTCAGCATTATAGTAGTTATATTTCGCAGAATGACTTCTGTTCTAATTCTGGAATATTTGAGATTATTCCAAGTGGTTTGGATAACGCTCATCTTCAACGTCTCGATCTTAGCTCTAACGCAATAACATCTTTACCAGACCTCCATAAGCTGTCATCTTTAAACCATTTGGATGTCTCCTCTAATCGTATCTCATCGTTTAAGGTTGGTTTTATCTATTCTCTACTCTTTGGTATAGGCATTTGTTAGCCCAATCAACTATATTTGCGCCGGATTAATAGCGTAGTGTTAAGGTTTCTTCTCAAATTTAGAGTTACTCTCGCTAATATTTTTGGAAGAGGAATTCATAAATACTCGAGACTTTTTTCGGTAACTTCAATGCAGTGCGTTAGAACTCGTTGCACAGATACTGTAATTTGTCAAGCTTTTGCAGTAAGATGCAGCCTTAATAGTGGGCGTAATTTGGCTAGAAAGGGCTCGTGTAGAGCAGATGTTAGAGGTACTTTGAGATGGACATAATCACAAGGATGCCGAGACATGGACAAAACTCTCTGTTGGTCTCAAAATCGCTACGGGACTTGTGTGGAACAAAGCTACCATAAGCCAACTAACGTGTAAAGGAGGAGATGCTCAAACAGCCCAACTTACACCAAAAAACTGGGCAAATTCGTCGATTTTCGATCTGAAACAATGGACAGAATGGAAGAGATGCCGTGGTCCTCACAGTATGCGAAGGCATGTCATACATAGTAATTAATCAACTGTTTAGTACGAAAGTAAAGCTCAGAGACAAATTTGGTCTTTGTCAAAATGTCCTACCCGTATTAGTCAGAATACTGTATCAAATTCCGACGAAATCGTTCAACGTTGATAACCTAGACTGTAGAACAAATGTTGAGAACTTGGAGGTTCCTCATAAACACACTTTCTGGAGACGAATTGGTAATCACACACCTCCGCTTCAATCAGTAGTTTTATCGACGCTGAATAGACAAGTCAGCTTTCATTCATGCTCAGTAGCTAACTGCATCATTATGGCAGGGAGGTATTAAAAGTCTAAGCTCAATTTACCCAAAGATTTCCAGTAATTCCTACACCAGCAGTAATTTCTTATCTGTACAGTAAATTCCGAAATCGCATGGGCCGTTACAAAAGAGCTCGTGGCAAATTTTTTTTTCCAACGGGCATTCTCTATATGTCTATATAAAAAACTATCGACCCAGAACGAAATGTACCAGAATAAATAGCTATGGTAAAGCTAACTTTCGATAGGACACGCATCGAGGTCGATGCATGTCGTCCGGTCTGTCCCACAACGTATGCGTTAGAATCCATCCTTCCGTTCAAACGTATCTTTTTGTTTAACGATGAGGCCGTTTAGGCGTTTTTAAAATTTTCCCTATGGTCCAGCCGACCAACTCTAGTCTGTATCAACTCTCATCCATCTTGGCTTTGACATTGATGATTTAGACTGCCATTTTTCCACAGTGCCTTACGTTCCTTGATGCATCTTCCAATACCGTTGAAGATCTCACCGAATTTTTGTACTTGCTACCTTTGATGAAGTTGGAGTCGATTGCATTAGGTAAGGTGAAGAATTCTACATAGCTTGTACCACTTTACTGAAATAAGTTTCAGCGAATAACCCTTGCTTATCAAGTCCGAATTTCGATTACCGCATTTATATTTTATCGGTTTTGCCATCAGTACAGGATATTGACGGGTTCTTAGTCTCTGAAGAAGACCAATTGAAAGGTTTATTCTGTTCTTTTTAAACAGTTCTTCAGACTCATGCAAATATGTTGTATAAACTGTATTTAGGTGAGTGGTTGTATAGTCAAGGAAAGGGAAGAATGTTCAAGCCAGACACTGGTGCACATGGATCGCTTGTAAACTACTTGGAAAGGTACTGTCCTTTTGACATCGATGGGAGGCGTGTTTCCTCTTTAGACCAGTCGATATTGAAGGTAATTGTCTTCTATAATGTTCCCATTTTCTTTTCTTTTTCTTTTTTGCTCGTTCTTTTGATTTTGATTCACTACATGTTACTACTTCTCACTACCGTTTGGTTTCAGGTTATGGAAAAGCGACGGGAGATATTGAGTAACAGCAGCATCGAAGAAGACTCTTCCTTGTCGTTGAGTCTTCATTCACCATATGGAGCTTGGACCGCCCGTGTTATTGAGGGGAAAGAGAATCGCCTACCAAATTCAAGCGCTGATGAAAGTAAGTGTAGGTATTTTAGTATGAATTTGAGATTGTATCTGAGTAAGTGTGTAAAATCTTCGAAAATGGATGCGAGATGCTAATATTATTGCGCTGTTTGTATTTGGAATTTTATTTTTTGCGAAAGCACTACATAATTTTAGTGCCTCGACACTTATTCTCGGCCAAAATGCCGCAGTCTTCTATTCCAGCTGAGGAAAAGTGTGCGAAATCAACAACAATTTTACAATTTGAAGCTCCTTCAAGAAGTTCCACTCTGGAGTCGATAGAATCGTCCTCAACAGTGACGCTCGTACCCGCATTAAAAAATGGCTGGAGAGAGTATGTTCATACTGTTTTTTCTTGATTTCTGCAGTTTCCTTTTCAAAAGGGGGGGGGGGGACGAAAACTAACATCCTGTATTGTACATTTTAGTAACCGAAATGTGGCATCCACCGAAGCAACTCGCACTGACCGTTCTAGAAGGTCACACTTGCGAGAACGAATATTGCAACGCGAACAGGATTCGGAACTGAAGGACGAACCTGGGCGGGTGGGATAACCCTTATAATTTAATGCTTAATTTAGAGCTGTTAGCTGTTTCAGACTCATCCAAGTAATAAGCGGAATGTTACATCCTGTGTCTCATTCCATCCTGTGGGCGCTGATACTCCTAGGTTTTTATCTACGAAACCAAAAACGAATGAGATGAATCATTTAGCCATCCTATGGGATAGATATTTGCATAGACTCACAGTTGAACTAACCGTTTCCCCAATCTTCAGACGTTTTTTATTTACGTTGTTTTTCTAGTCTTGGTGTTTAAAAATAACTTACAGCGTAGCACAACGAGACATGAGAGGCACAAATCAAACCACTCAAACTCTGTAGATGTGGTGACGGACATATCGATGGATATAGGATCAATAAGAAACAGCAGGAGGCCATATTATGAAGAGGTATTATGATTCACTTGCAATTTTTTGAAGAATAGGTTGATGTCCTCACATATTACTATTGAGCATGGTTTTTCAGGACGCTGTCATCCGTCGAATAGAATTTCTGGAAGACAGAGTTAAAACAATAAGTGATGAGAATGAAAACCTTACGCGAATAAATGATGAATTAAGCAAATTCCTTGTGGAAAGGACAGAAAAATTCACGGTTTTACATGCTTATCATATTTCTGTTTTTCACTGTACCCAAGTTAACGTTTGAGCTTGCAGGAAGAAGTGAGTTCTCTGAGAACACAACTGCAATCTATAGTGAAGTCACAGAATCCAGACCCATGCAATCTTCGAGTTTCGCGAGAACTGGGCCAGGGTTGCTATGAAATAATTTGGGATATGCCAGTAGTTGAAGGTGAATAACTTCGAAATACACGTTTGGTTTTTGTCTTTGATGGTGTCGTAAATGTATTACTTCTTTCTCCTTCGAGGTTACAAAGTTTTAACAAATGGAGTTGAGAGTGGGTTTGTTCGAGCGCCAAATAATGCTGCACGTATAGCGGATGTAGAGGCTGGAGCTGAGTTGTCTATACAAGTTCAGGTAACTGTTATCTAAACTTAGCAGAATTGAGGTGCATTTTATGCCCTGCATTCGTTGAGTTTAACTAGTTGCAATATTGATGATCTTATCACTAGCTGTCATAATGTTCCTGTTTTTCTACACTTTTTTTAGTATATGTATTGATACTATTCGTTGAGGCTTGCAAACTGGTTTCATCAATTCCATTTATTTCTTCTGCGTGGAAAAGTAGGCCAATGGTTTTAATTCGGTCGGTAGACTTCAGAATGGTAATAATTTCTTCTAGAACCTTCTTGATGGAGTCTTCCGGGTCTGTGGCCAATCTGCTGTGCCCTTCGCTTCCTAACCGGTTTCTGTTAAGGTGCACCACATGTTAGCGCATAGATCAGCGTCTTTGAAGGATGGTGGTCGACGTAGGTCGTAACCTCGAATTTCCACTCTTGCTTAGGTGATGTGGGATATCCCTTCATAGTACCACCCTTTCGATAATTCGATTCAATAACTCAGTGCTGTTCTGGTTTGCTTTGTGTTGTGTCCAAGTTTTTGAGGACTACGTCGAGATATGGTGTTGTACAGTCGAAAATGGTGGGAGGGGGAGGGAAGACTCAAGGTTAGTTGTTCTCATTTGTGGTCCTTTTATAAGCTACCCTAGCCATTAGTTTCCTTCTTCACAAGTTTGAATTTAGGCGGTTGATTTTTTGGACCAAATGAGCAAACTTTACGGAGAGGTTAATCCCGTTAGACGTCAGTAGTTAGTTAAGAACGAGTACGTTTCTCACGAACATCGTTTTCTGGTAATTCAGTTGAAAGCGATTTTTTTTACAAGCGCTGTCCAAACATGATATTCTTTGGGACTGGCAAATGCTTGACATTATCAGAACGAAATCTTTAGTAAGACGAAAATAGTTTAATGTTGACCACTAGAATCTACTCCCATGTTATCTCATTCCATTTCTCGCATGAAGTCTTTGGTATTAAAGCTACCGATTTTGGTGAAGGATGTCCACAGGAGACTAACTAAACTTCGGACCGAGGGCTGGGTATGAGCGCCACATAAAATCGTGACCTACCGGCTTGGGAATTGTTAGTGAGCGTGATCCCTATTGTACACACGAACATGAAGTCCACGGAAGTAGCGGTGATTCTACGCTGTTAAAAATTTCTAGAAAAAATCAGTACCAATAAGACGACAGTTGGAGAGAGAAAAGAGTCATCAGACAATGCCTCGATTTCTCGTATTGCCAAACTATTAGTTTCATGGAAATTGATGGTAGATAGAAAAACAACGTCGTTTTTGTCACACATGTGGGAGAATTGTTGTTTCAGTTGTAATAATAGCAATAATTTAAATATGACAAGTATTGCCATTATAGGCGATTCATTTCGATGGAAAATTGGGAAAGCCTTCGAATTCGCTCATAATAAAAAGAAATCGCAGTAATAACGCTTTGTAACAAACGGTCTATTCGAAGCATCGCCGAACCTTTTCTAGTGATCTCGTGGAGTTTCGATGTTCCTGCTGTAGATTTTAAAGAGCAACTATAAATGAACATCGTGTTCTGTTTACTGCTTTTGGAAGAACTTTTGTTTTTCTAGTACTATGTAGTAATCTCTTATTTTCTTGTTCATTTTCATTTGTTCTCGATGGAAAGTTTGAGCGAAGAAATAAAGAATTGAATTGTGGCGAAAGAAACACATAAACACATCAGTGAGGTTAATCATCAGCATTTACGTTACCCATTATCCCTTACGATCTGTCGTTAGTTTTAGCTTCATAGTTCCGTTTCTCTCATTTTATCTTCAGCGATATAATGGAACTTATGCGTAGTATATATTACAGATGCTTTCATATTCCTACAGCCAAGACGTACTTATAAACAACACGGTAGTGTTATTCCCAAAGCTCCAGATTTGTCTGATTGAAGAGCGCTAGGTAGCGGTCTCTAAGCGTATATGCAGCCATTTTTGCTTGTCGAGTCCTTGTGAAGATACCTTTGTGATTTCCCACGGCTCGACTTGTTGCTAAAAAAATTTGGGTAAATTGTATTGTTTTCAATGTAATTCGTGTTCAAATGAATTCAACGAAATAGTCAAATATTCAGTATTTTCCTAACATAGAAAGTCACAAAGTTTAAAGTTGTCTACGTCGTAATTCGTGGGTTCAATCACGATATTGTTATCCGATTTCCAACGTCGAACTTTCCACTTTTATATGGTTCGTGTATTTGAGTATTTCGTGACTCACGAATTTCACTCAACATTCCTTGTGTGGATTCTAGGATTGAGAACAAATCATTTTATTTTCCTAAGTTATAATCTCTAGGAAAATAGCCTCTCTCAGAACAAGCCGGATACCAGGTGATTGCTGATGGTGCCGATTAATAAAATTAGCTGAGAGACAGGCGAAACGAAGGAGCCGCATGGCGTGGTGGTGAGCGCGTTACTCCCCGGAAAGGACAATAGCGCATTCGTTCCCCGGCGCAGACGTTTACGGTCAGGAGTTTTGCAAATATCTCAGCATCATCTTAGTTGTATTTCACATGATACCCTGCCATTAAAAATTACAGTAGGCAGCAAATAAAGAGGTTAAGGTTGTGATTTCAACTTCAGTCTCAGCTTAACTAGGTTCGTTGCCGATTTGAGCTCCTTAGATCAATCTCGTTGACGGGTGATTGCTGGTGGCGCTGATCGATCAAGCAGGATACATTATATGTCGTGAACGAACTATTGATATCATACAAAAGGTGTCATGGAAAAGCTTTACAAAAAAAGGAAAGTAGGAACAATAGGGACGGAGGTGAGTCAAATATGGCTCATATGGCCGCAAATATCCTAGCGGTAATGGGATATGAATGTTGATAAGAGCGAGGGTCCTCCGTCTAGATGGATCATTAAGCCGATTGGCATGGTGATTGTGAGGGGGTGATTGTCACGGTTAAACTAGCTTCCATTGATGTGGGGCACTGAATAACTTATACCTGTTTTATTACAACATTGAACTGCGAACAGTACTTATACTTGGTTGGGAAATTAGTGTATAAATTCAAATTAGAAAATCCTATAGTGCACTGACTCATTCCAGTCATGAAATCCGCGAAGTTCCAAATCATTTCGCCGGCGAGAATATGAGAGTTTCTAAGGGCGTCGAATGCTTGATGTGTCCGAATAATGAGTTCATTTTGATATTGTTCAGAGAAACTCACTGATGGTTCCTACAACAGCTTGATTTAGTTCATTGGCACATCGCTTACTACCTAGAGGGTGATGACCCTACACGAATCTAAACTACCTTCAAAACAATTTTGAAACCGACCGTCATTTAACTTCCGTAGTGAAATAATACGAGAATACATCGCGTAAGCTCGATAATTTAAAAACATGTGCTACCTTCAGTTTAATTTCCACCACAGTTTCTTTTCTCGCTGGAAAGTTTTCTACTTTTTGAAACTCTGAGATAGATATTGCTACTGAAACTTCTCAACTTGTCACTACAGACAGCAACACCTGAGTGGTGATATCTGCCAGTTCGCAATCAAGTGTTAGGCATCATAAAGCGATAAATCATTGATGGATTAGATTACTTATGGAAAAAATCCATGGATCTCCCTCATATGAAGGATCCTGATAGCCGGAGCCGGTTAGTCGCGAGACTAGGTGGCGCTTACCCAGGTAGCGGAGTGTATCCAGGGGATGGACTCTCTGTTTCTGCTGCGCTGATTTGACATATACTTTCTTTATTTGCTAGGCGTATTCATGCATGCGTGTGTGGGTGCGTTCTTGCTTGTGAGGATTGTATTCTACGAGTCAATTCGGCCAAAGGCCTATAATCAAGTGACTGGGAAGTACATGGGAGGCGGTTAGGCTTCGCCTCCAATAAATAAGCTCCATGTCCACTCTAGGAGAACCTGGCAAGCTACCCGTGAGTATACCCAGACCCCACGTACAGAGCCCAGAAAGGCATACGTGGGTATCAAAAATGCTAAACACAGTAAAAAAAAAAGGGCCTCATTCTCCTGATCCCGAAAGAGCCCCCATTTCGGCAGCGTTGGGTAGGACGAGTAGGGGGAGGCCGCTAAAATTTCAGGGCCAATGGAAGCTGCTTGGATTGCTAAGAACTAAGGTGACGATCTGTACCTATAGTGCACGTACACTTGTATCCAAGTCCTCGATAGAAGATTTGATCATGCAAGGAGGAAGGATGAGGTAGGACGTCATCGGCCTGGCCGAGACGAGAAGACGCTACCCTTTCAACGCCGTCCATGACACTGGAGAGGAACTGTTCCTCGGAACATGCGACAGTAGAGGAGTCGGCGGCGTCGGCGTTCTCGTCAACACGAGTTTGTCCATGAACATCGATTCATTCGAATTTACAACCCGAATCGGACGATTAAGATTGAAAAGATATGGTTCAATACCGGCTTTGTCAATCTTCGTCGTTAACGCGCCGATATCAAGCTACAAACTGTGACGAAGAAGAGGTCGAAGCGTTCTAAATGGACTTGGAGAAGTTCTTCAGAGAAGACCATACATTTTTCAAGGTCATTATTGGAGACTTCAACGCCAAGATTGGAACAAGAAGAACGTCTGAAAAACGTCACATTGGGACCCACGGATTGGAATGGAATGAACAGGGTGAGTGGCTATCTGACTTTATAATGGCGACCGAGATAATCCATGGTAACTCGCAATTCCAGATGCCCCACCCTCAACGCCGGAGGTGGGAGTCTTCCAATAAAGATTACCATAACGAAATAAGTCACATCATAATAAATAGAAGATTTTGCCTAACCGATGTCGTTGTTGTCCGAAAATTCTACACGAGATCAGATCACCATCTCCTTCATGCAACATTCTGTTTCTCGCGGAAAGGAGAAAAAGCCGCCAAATTCAAAAACCGAAGTCCCAGAACCACCATAAACTGGGACTTATTCAATTCATTAGTCGGCTGTTGAGAAGGTGCTCTTGTAGATAACATCGACGAGGAATATGATCGGCTCATTCAACATCTTCACGTTAGCGCCATGAAAGCTGAGAGCTCGAAAGTCACTAAGAGATGTCTCTATCACCGGAAGCACTCGAGCTGATACACCAGCGTGAAATCGCACGAGCTGCAGACAACCACGAAATAACGTCCGAGCTTGCAAAACAATGCAGACAGGCGATGAAAGAAGGTCCTGAGGAGAGAGGAGCAGCAGTAATGGTCGATAAGACCAAGATGATTGCACTGCGGCGCCCAAACGGAACAGTTACAGCGTCAGGAGAGGCAATGGAGAAAATCATTCACGAATACTACTCGGACCTCCTCGATAGCCACGTCCACCTTCCGTCATATGAAATAAAGGAGGATGGATATGTTGTACCACCGGTTCTCCGTTCCGAAATCCGACATGCCATTTTGTTGGTGAGAAATCGAAGAGCACCAGGTCCGGCAGGATAAGATCAGAACAACTGAAGAACCTTCCACCAGTACTTGTAAACACACTGGCTCGGCTGTTCACACATTAGTTGTCAGAATGCAAGGTCCCTATTCAATAGAATATCAGGAAGACCGCGTTATTGTTCAAAAAGGGTGACCTACACGATATAGGCAACTATCGCCCAATCTGCTTGCTCTCTGCTATCTATAAACTTTTCACTCGAGCCATCCTAAACAGCATTGACAGTACACTGGACGAAGGGCAGCTATGTGAGCAAGCAAGATTTCGAAATGATTTAGTGCGGTGAACCACATCCACACGATAACAAAACTCATCGAAGTATCGCGAGAGTACAAAAGACCGCCCTGTCTCACTTTCACCGATTTAAAGGCCTTTGACGCAACTGATATAGAAGCACTCATAAAAGCCTTTGATGGCCAAGGAGCCCTACTCAGCATATATTCATGGCGAGCTTTGCAAAAATGTCACCTCCAAGATATCACCTTTCCACAAGGATATTAACATTGGGGTCAAACAGGAGTTAGGCAAGGCGATAGCACCTCGCCAAAATTATTTATCGGCATCCTGCAGAACGTCATGCAATCATTGGAATGGGACAGTATGGAGAGTGAAAATGGATGGTCGGCAGTTACACCATCTTCGCTTTGCTGATGACATCGTCCTTATAACACCAAACATTAACCGAGCGGAACGAATGCTGGCCTTCTTTGATAAGGCCTGTGGAAAGATTGGTCTTCGACTAAATCTCACAAAAACGTTGTTCATGAAGAACAGATTGGTTTTGTATGCCGCATTCACGCTCAAAGGAACGAATATCTCCGAGTGCTCCAGTTATGTCTATCTAGGTCGGGAAATCAATATGATGGACAACTTAGCACCAGAGTTGAGGAGAAGGAAACGAGCGTTCGGGGAGCTTTCAAGAGCATCGAGGATGTGGTGAAGAGAACAGAGAACACCCGACTCCGTGCCCACCTTTTCGACTCAACGGTACTTCCTGCCCTAACGTATGCGTCAGAAACCTGGTCGCTGCTTAAAAGGATTAAGGATCACTTAGCGTTATTGGACGCGCACTCGAAAAGACGATGCTAGGAGTATCCCGTTCCACACAAGTAAGGGATGGGATTGGAAGCTCCGATCTGCGTCAACAATCAAAAGTGAAAGATGCCGTTCTGTACCAAACAAACAGTCGAAGATAAGGTGGCCGGACACGTATTTCATATGAATGACAACCGATGGACAAGAGCCGTTAATGACTGGATTCTTCGGGATTCTAAACGCACTGTAGGAAGGCCACCGACCCGATGGTCGGAGTTTTTCACGAAAAGCCTAGAGGAAAGATATGATGCTCAACGAGTTCCTAGAGCCAGCAGAACCCACTGGGCCAGTCTTGCACGCGACAAGGAAAAATGAAGCATTTAATGGTGCGCGCTTGAGTCATTCGACGATCAACGGGACTACAGGTGATACAGGTGATGCAAAGAAATAACTCTGGGACATAGTGCCTATAGACAAATTGGTAACGATGCCTAATTTTCGGCTTCCCTCACGGTGATTCATATGCGACGTACCTTGACCAAATGCCTATCAGCAAGTCGATGGACCTTTTTGTTGTAGTTTTGGCTCTAGAAGTTGGTTTTTTCTCTGCTATATATTGCTAATCAAGGTAGCTTCTATATCGCAATACCCTGCATTTTTCTTTTGTAATTTTCCGAGACTTTATACCGTATTCGACTTTTAAATATGATAAAAAAATATCGTGCATCATCAAATCCTATTTTTGCTGAAATTTGGTATAGTTTCGTAAGGTGATGCGGAATACACTTCTTGTATACAGTGCACGTATAAGTATATGAACTGATGCGAAAAATGATTTTTGCATATTTCTGAGATTAGAGCTATTCCCGGACCACGCTCGCCGCAAAATTTGCACGATATTTTGATTGGGTAAATTACCGAATGATTAAGGGCAACAAAAAACTTATATGTGGCAGAATGAACTGCCGAAACGAGAACAGATTATATATAATGCACCTTGGCCAGCCTGATCCAAAACGCTTGCGTCATATATGACATATATCGACACCAAAAGGCTAAGAATTGTATTGGATTGGAAGGTTTAATACTACATATTTGGATACTTGGACGGTCTGTCCTCACTGGTTGTGCTGGCTGCAGCATATTCTTCATTTTTCGGAGCTTTGCTGATTTAGTCACTGTGTTTCCCTGCAGTTCCGAGGTCGGCCTGCTCAAATTCTGCCCCAAGTCGTCACCATCACAGGTAGTCTCTGCCGTTGTGGATTAGAGCAAGATTTGCCACCATGCGACTAATTTCATACCAGAACGGTGGTGAATCCAGGTAGTGTTTTACGCGTACCTGGGCTTCCTGATGGAAACGCGTGACTCGTTCTCAGCTTGAAGAACCTTGCTGGTAGGATGACTTCCCGCGCTGTATACCGCAGCCCGACACGTAGGAACACTTTACAGCCACGATGAGATGGAAGGCCGTTGGGAGGTTTAATATTACATAAAACAAAAATTATTTCGCCAGAATGATGAATTTACTGAAAAAAGGCAGGCAGGTTTGCCTGTGTGTATACTATTATACGCATAACCTTGGGCTCAACATAAGTTGACCGTCATTCATGCGATGGGATGCTTACCAGTCGGTCGACGTGAAATGATGTCAAATCGCAGCACAAATGTTGAAAAATTAGATGTCGACTTTTTCGTCAGTATAGGATATTAACACAAAATCACAACACTCAAAACCACATTTTCATGGATCGATTCATATGCTGAATCAGTGACCACATCGCCATTTACAGATTAATGCTTTGAATGGTCGTAGCATAATTCATCCAATCATCGATTAACTTAAACTTTTCTCACCACCGAAGGAATTACGCAAAACTTGCATTAACGGTTCATGAGGGAAAAAGGTGATGTTATTCTTTTCTCACCTGATTCAATCCTGGCAAGCTTTCGGCGCCATACTCGGTGACTAGAACTGGTCTTTTGTACTTTTCCGACCATTGCGAAATATCCCAATAGACACTTTGATTGATCCAGTCGAGCTCACCTATGTTGATATACCAACCGTAATATCGATTCACACAAATTATATCGAGTAGATCAGCCTAAAAACATACACCTCTGGAAAACCAATACTTATGAATCAAACGGAATATTGTTTTGTTTTTTCATCGTGTTCTGAGTTCGTACGAAGGACTGCAGTCTTGTTTCGCAACTGCATTCTTTAAAGAAATGATTTCGCCGAGGTTTAGGTGAATCATACATAATATGTAGAAAATAACATTTGATAGCCGTTTCCCTTTTTACGATGAACAAGCCGTGTTTGTTCGAAGAATGATGATGAAATTATATTCGCCTACCGTTTGATCGTTTTCAAAGTTACTTGGTCCAAAGACGATTGTTACCGGACGAGTTTTATCTAAATCATGGGCGTGCTGGACAAGATGTCTGAAACATGTAGGAATGAGTCAGCACACCTGCGACTATGCCTAATCTGGGATTTGTTGCAGACTGGACGACGCCTAATTTTCAGCCCTTACAGCTTTACTGGTTTGTTGATGGCGAACAATAATTCATTGATAACTAGAGTACTTCGTGTGTTTTAAACATTAATAGACCAGAAAGGACTATGCTCTATCGTTTTATGGCTATGAATGATAATTATGGTGCCATTTACTATATGTTACTGTGGTCTGTCATACAAACATATTACTCTCAGCATTTGCAAGTGTTTTACTAGGTTGTTTAGGAATAAATGAGCGTTCTTAACTATATTATTTAAAATGTCATAGCTTCCTTCGAACAAAACTTTATTGAGCAGAATAAAAATTATTTGAATCCACACATTTTGCCTCTTCCAACTGCATGAAATTCTGGAGTTCTGGAAGCGACGAATTCGTTGAAGGAATTTTTTGCCTCATCGTGGTTGGTGAAGCGTTTGTCGCGCAGGAAGTTGTCAAGGTAATAGTTCCCAGGATCGACTTTCTGTTAACCTCGGCATTGGAATATGAATGCGTCGTTTTCTTGTCCAGCAATCGCGAGGTTTTTAAACAGCATACATTTACTTCCATGGAGAAACACAATACAATACAACACTAGCTGACGCTTCGGCAGTATCGCCTTCTTCAGAGCCGCTTTTTACGTGACTTCCAATGAGGAAGTTTAGAACAGTTGATTATAGTCGCATATGGTTGATGACTCAAAATAGCGGCTCTGAAGAAGGCGATACTGCCGAAACGTCAGCTAGTGTTGTATTGTATTGTGTTTCTCTATGGAAGTAAATGTATACTGTTTAAAAACCTTGCGATTGCTAGACAAGAAAACGACGCGTTGTCAAGGTACTTGAAGAAGTGATAGTTGGTAAGCGAGAGGTCTGATGAATGTGGAGGATGAGGCAAAGTTTCGTAGCCAAACTCGTTCAACTTCTGCAGCGCTGGCTCCGCTACGTGGGACAGGGCGTTGTCGTGGAGAAAGAATGGTCTTTCTCTGTTGTCCAATGCCGGTCGTTGTTGCTGGAGTTTACGGTGCATTTCCTCGATTTATTGGCAACATTCTCTGCCGTAATCGTTTCTCCCAGATTGAAAAAGCTGTGATGAATCCCGTCTGCAGCCCACCAAACAGTCACCATAACCTTTTCTTGGTGCAATTTCGGCTTTTGGAAGTGCTGTAGAGCTTGATCTCAATCCAACTGTTGAGCCAAACGTCGCCGGTTGTCGTACAGAATCCATTTCTCATTGGACGTCACAATTCGATCAAGAAAAGAGTAGTTTTTGTTCTGCAGAATAAGAGCACACGACAGTTCATAACGGCAATTTTTTAAATTATCGTCTAATTCGTGCGGCATCCACTTGTCTCGTTTCATTGTGTCTCCAATGCGATTCAAGTGGGTGAAAATTTATCCTGTGCTTACGCCAAGGTTGTTCAAGCTCTCGAACACTTCACGTGTTTGCTTCCACTAGTTTCTTTAATTCGTCAACATCTAGTTCATTGGGACGTCCGCGGCCTTCCTTACCTTCGAGTTCGAAATCACCAGATCAAAATTTCCGGAACCATGTTCGCACTGTTGGTTCACCAACACTACCTTCACCTAAACTTCTTTACTGTTTCGAGCCCTCTACCCTGCAATACGACGGAATTTGAAATCAAAAAAGGAAATTTGACAAAAATTCGCACTTGACATCTGAAATTTCAAAGTTTAAAATTGGTGAAAAATCTATTTTTTGACAAAACCTAAAAACATATTTGAAAGAAGCAATGATATTGCAAAGCATATTTTCTTCGTCAAAAATACATTGGAACAAGAAATATTTTTAAACGCTTATTTATTTCTGAACAACCTAATATAACCTGTGGATCTCTATTGCAGTGTTTTTTATCCTCGCGCACTATACGATAACTATCGATCACTATAGAAATTAGAACTGCAATAGTTTTATATATGTATACTATAAATATATGCGTTGTATTGAAATGTGTAGTTTTTTGTATGTCTCTAAGTGGATAAAAGAGCTCTTCCCGACCAACGTCCAGTACAACATCTGTGTTATATAAGCTATCAGTTAATTACTTAGTTGGATACTTGGATACTCCCTGAGTTGCGCAGTCCTGCTAGGTGCCGTGAGTGTCGGTTAACTTTCAGAAGAAGAAGGTTCAAGCGGACTATGGTTGGCACACATCGTTGTTGACGTGACTGAAGTATCAGGCCTCGTCTCTGCTGGATATACAGCGCTAGGAGGACTGTTGGATCTAAACGGTAGTGCGAAGTTTTTGGTCCATTTGGTCGGTGGCTTCTTTTAGTGGCCGAATTCGGCGCAAGCTGCCCTCTTTCTTCTGCTCAGTTCCTACTCATGTAGCTTTCCAAGCTTAGTGGACGTCCAAGGCACACATAGAAGTTGGTCTCCACCATTGGTTTTCTTGTATCGTCTTGTCGAACCTCTTTTCCTATAGCTTTTGTGAAGCGTGGATTAAAAAGCTGTATATTCGTGCTGCCCTACCAACGGTTTACCGCCTCATCGTGGCTTGGAGGTGTTTCTGGGTGTCGGACTGCGATGTACAGTAGGAGATTCATCCCCTGGCAGAGTCTCCTACGCTGAGAGGGAGCCCGGCGTTTCCATCAGGAATCCTAGCTAAGAGTAAACCAATACCAAGATCCACCACCATCCTGATATCAGAGTCGCATTGTGGTAAATCTCCCTCCCATCTACAAGGGCTGCGACTGCCTGTGGTGGTGAAGACCCGGGGCAGACTTTGGTGAGGCTGACCTCGGGACTCCAGGGAACCATAATGGCTTAAGCAGCAAATCTCCGGAAAATGGAGACTGTGCTGGGGCCCGCACAACCAGTGAGGACGGGCCATTCAAGTATCAAGTGGGTAAGTATTGGTGCTGCAGTTTCGATAGCAGCATGCTAGTGCTCGTGTATAGGACAAGTGCACCCCTTGGTCTATGGGCGCTTATATGATTGCATTCGTTTAGACGCTGTTAAACCCTTTTTCTCGAGGTAGGACAAGTGGTAAATGATACTATCGACAGAATTCTATAACCCATGACAGGGTTCTGGTGTGGTCCATGCACCAGAATCCCTGTCGAAATCCAGTTTGCTGAACTGGTTGTGCCTCATCAAATATCTTCGATTTACGCAAAAATAAAAACAATCTTCGCTAATAGGTTGTGCAGCATAATCAATAGGTATGTGGGATAGTTGTTCGAAAATCCCTTCCGTTATCCGTTTAGAGTAAGATGACGGTGCGCAACGTCCTCCGCTGGCCTGGGATTTTCTCTTTCTAAAAGTAAAATTTCATCTGGGTTGCGACAATTACATGTAATTTGTAGCCACTAGCTCTAAGAAATCGGCGATGATATTATCGGGTGCTGAAATTTTAGAGAGTTGAGCCCCACATGGTCCTTCACCAACGGGGTTTTCGTGGTACGAGACGAGGATTGAAAGAATTGAAGCTGAAAAGATTGGTATAGCACCTCTCTGTCATTAATCAATTTCCATATTCCATATCATGGTGGGAGGTACTGATGGCCCCATTTTCGTTCGTTAGGATGGGTAGAGCAACATTACAGTCGCAAAGGTCCCCACAGCACTTCCTTCGACTAGATCGTTTTTGAGCTACCTCCGATAACTTTTTCTGTCTACACCGACGTAAATTCTCATGGAAGGTCTACTACAGCTAGCATTCATTAACAGCCTTGTTAAGTGTGTTATAGTAGAATCAAGCTCCAGTGTCCTTTTTATTTCGAGCAACTCTTTAGTGGTAAAGAAGTTGCGATCTGAACATCTTGTTTGAGTAACTGAGGCGAACACCTCAGAAGTTTTAAGTCCGTTAACAAGTTGCTTGCATACCTCAATCATTTCTTCTCTTTTCTTCTCCCGAGTCTCCTTTATCTGTCAATCATGAAAGAAGAAGATTTCAATGAGAATATCTTCCTCATAGACGGTCTGTTTCGTTTTCTTGGACAATGATAGTTCTTCTCTAGCTTATAGATGAATCGAATCTTCTTACGGAAAAGGCGGAGATCGGGCTACAGAAGCCAATAACCACTAAGGTATCAAAGTGGCGCTATTTTTTGTTCGTGAGAATATGGTCGACCTCCGCATTAGCCGTGCCGTTAGGAGGCTCCCATGCTCATCGGCGATTCTGTCTTTTCGAAAAATGATTTTTCATTGAAGAGACGTGCTGCGGACAGGAATACTACAAGACAGTTTCAATTCTCATTTCGTTCTCTTGATCTGGATTTCCCTATCCCGCATTTACTTTCGTTAGCCGTTCCCAGTCTAGCCTTGATGTCTCCAACAACAAATTTATGGAAAGCGTTCTCGCTGTGGATTGCGGTTGTAAAACGCGTCCAGTTCGCTCTCATCATCTGTACATTGGTGAGTAACAATTGATGATACTGACATTCTTTTTTACGTGCAAGTTGGAGGAGATGAATGGCCAAGCGCAGCAATAGTATTTTGTACGAGGTGACTAGATGGGGAATAAATAGGTGTACGACAAAGACAACGCCTCCGACATTTCACAACGGTAAGTACCCTCCACGAATGACAAGTGTCCCGTCAACAAATTGGCGCATATCGGCCCTTCCAGGTCTTTTGTGTGACGACCACACCGATTTTGATACGATCGGTAGCTTCAAGAAGAGGATAAAGGTCTGCGTCTGAAGATGTTCTGGCGTTATAGGGGCACAGTAAGAAGCGGGGTAATTGGCGTGTCGTGGGCGTACTCGTTTTGTTTTTTTTCTAACGATGTCCTGTTCAACCCGAAATTTGTTCCCCTCACACCAGTTGTTTCAGCGCCCGACGACATAGAAGGGAGAGCATAGTGCCCAAGGTACTGAGGCACAAATTTTGCTAGTTTAGCCATTGTGGTTCCCTGGAGACATGAGATTATTCTAGCTGAAGCCTCCCTCAGTCCGCCATCACTCCAGGCTGTGCCGCCTTTGTTGATCAGAGGAAGATTTTCCATGGTTGACTCCTAACTGGACTTCCGGATGGGAACGTCGGGCTCTTTCTCATCTTAGATAACGTTGCTAGTGGATGGATTTGCGGCTATACATCATAGCCTGAAACCCAGTAGGACCTCTCAAAGACGATGAGATAGTAAACAGTAGGGAAGTAATCTATCAATTAATAACACTAAAGTATAACAAAAAGCTTCTGTACCCCAAAACAAACTACCGGAAAGAAAATGAGACCCTATAGGTGTCTTACTGGCCACTACAGCAAAAGACTACGGCACCTGTAGCTGTCACTCATCCGCGAGTGTTAAGCTAGCACAAGTCCGTTGTACCCGCTATTCGGGAGGCATGCATTCATAACTAAGATAATGCGGAAATCGTTTGTCAATTCTTTCTTCTTTTTGAGCCTTGTTTTTCCTGTTTTCAATGTTTCAAAGCTGTTGAATTTGAACCACTTACCTTCGATGCAATTTCTACGAAAGCTTGCTAGCGATTATTTTCTATGATTCTGTTGTTAATTTCCAAATAACACTGGATTGAGTAATGTCAAATGAGTGTATATTGAGCATTTGTTGGCACCAGTTAGTCATCGTCAAAGAGAGTTGCGTGTTCGGGAGAAAATTCCACATTCTTAACAGATGCATTGATTTTGAGCTGTTTGACATACTTGAAGTATATTCTAGATTCTTTTTTGTCGGTTCTCGGTTCATTTGCTAGGCTCCACATAATCACTGATGGATGTGATCCGTCACGTCCGATAAGCTCCTTCAACATTTTCATATGCAGAAGATTGTTTTCCTTTGAGAAACCTCTGCAAAACCGACTTTTTTTGTACCACAGTTGTACAGTATGAACAACAAGTTACGTAAAAAATGTTTGTTTTTACAGCTTTTCTATGGCTAATCATCAGCGCTGTCTTACTTGAGCCCAACAGCAGGTGTCTCTGCAATAACCACAATGCCACGACGATCATTTTCCGCCATTCGTTCCTCAGCATACGGGTAGTGCGTGGTACGGTAGCAGTTGCCACCCGTCCATTCAAGCAAGTTCAGATCCTTTGTCATCACTACAACGTTGAAACCGCGTCCATGTACCTTAACAGATAAATCACTCTGTGCATCGATACAATGCATGCATTGTTGGGCAAAGTGGACCACATGCACGGATTTCACTTGTATTCAATCGAAAGGTTATCCAGGACAAATTTTACGCACGATGCGGTAAGTGGAAAAGTATTCTCTACATTCGATAATTACTAGAAACCTTCTTGGACGAATTTTTCATTGAATGCCATGCTATAGAATTTGAAAGCTTGGTTTCCAAACAATCGACTAAGGCTCAATCAAGAACATATTACATGGCTTATTCGAACAAATAACAGATTTGATAAGAGAAATAGAGAAAGAGTTCATTGTGGCGACCTCAAAATCTTCATGCATTCCGAAACCGAGGCAGTAAAATGGTTTGTCATTTATGAGAAGTTGACGGTTCGTCCAGCCAACGGTACGAAATCCGAATGTTTTGCGATAGATGTCAAGTCGTAATTGTTCCAGTGGTACGACCAGCTCCACCTAGCTATTAGCAATGATTCCAAATAATTCTGTTATAGACAGTTTTGTAACCATCTCCAATGCAAACGCCAATTTTTACTATGTAAATTATTTGAGCATACTTCCAAAGTATAGAGATCCGGTTTCCCAATACCACGTGGCCACCACGGCCGCACTGTTTTCAGGAGTCCTTTCTGCTCTAGACCTCGTGCCGAGAAAACCTCAAATGTGTAAATGAAATCAGTTTTTAATTCCTTTCAGGTAAGAAGTGAAACTTATTGCCTGCATACCAGATTTCTGTCTGGATCAAACATATGCACAAAAACATCTTCATCGGAACGATTCTGATTCAGAACGACCTCATAAGAAAATGATCCTGAAACATTTATGTTTGAAATAGAAAGTTTTTAGCATCCGAAAGCCGAACTGACTGGAATTTTCAATGCAGCTTGCCAGGGCTTACCTAAATGTTCAGCGTTTATTCGTATATCAACTATATAACTCTGAGGCAATTTCAACAGATACACTGATCTTAGAATACCAGCGTAGTTGAAGAAGTCGAAATTGCCGATGTTTTTGAATGCTCCATCGGGCGTACGGGATATCTAAAAAATCATCACGCTGCTTCGAAGAATAAGAAATGAAGCGTGTACTTTTAGTTAATCCTTTAGAGGTGCAATATGGGTGCGCTGTAACATCGCAGCCGCAATTGCATCTATACTGGCTTATAAAATGGCTTATGGGGCTCACCGATGTGCCATTCCTGTGCTTTTTATGCTCGCTAGACCAAGTATATTACGAATGTAGTGACAAAGGAGTAATAGAGGTCTTGGTTTGCGTGGACGAGGGATCGGAAAAATTATCACGTGTATATTGTGTGGCATCTCTAATCACTGCGCTACACGCGGCTTGACCTTGGCATTACATAAATCTTCCAAAATTCGTGAAAATATCTTTATATTGCCAACTTTACTGTGGCACAATCTAAAAGTTGGTTTCGAGTGCTCAAGAAGAATTACGAAAGGCTTTGTTTTTCAAGCATTACATAGATATGAATAGAGTCACTTCTTATGTCCAAAGAAGACAATCAGTATTGTTCCTATCAAATATCATCCAAAAAATTCTTTTTGGAAGGCCTTTTGTCTGTTCCAAACGTTTGATTGATATTTGCTGTAGATTCTATGTCGAAACTGTGAAATCCATAGTCAAAGTCGCCTAGTTGTCAATATGGCTGAAAACATAGCAAGAAACTACATTGGAAAATAGTTGAAATAGCTGTTAATAGGTTCTTTCTAGTTTGTTTAATAAACACTGAAATAAGGGTGCAGAGAATTGCTTAAAACCAAGCTTTTCTTTTTCGTTAAATAAATTAGTTAGTAGGCTAAGAGATGTTGTCGTTGTTTGAAGAAGAATAAAAACAAAACTGACTAAACACCAAAATCGTTGAAATAGGAAACAAAGACACTAGAGTAACCATGTTCTCAGATTATTTAGCGCTTGACTATTGCTGGCTTTAAGTTCGAGCTAAAAAATATCTTTTACTCTGTTAACGTGCTAAAGGGTTGGAAATGGTGCTGGAATTATATGAGAGGACAAAACCACTTGACAGATCGGTAACCCACCGCACACTCACTGTGTAAGCTAAATAGGTGCTCACTTACATCTACAGTGCTGTAAATGGACTCGCATGTGCGGCGTATTCCCAAGAGAATAATGACTCTGAACGCGTTATCCTTATATTTCCGACAATTTGCTTGGCTTTCGGCAATCCAGAACGACACAGAGATGTGTCATCATGAACCGTGCTACATATTCTTCCGGCTAGATAATGTACAGTGAAAAAAATTGTTAAACCTGTCAGTTTTTCCCGATAGTTTCTCTGAGGTTTGGTAAAATCAGCAATTCTTACATTCTTGCCTTTGACGTTACGAGTACTGTCGGCCATATAGATGAAGTCACCCTGAGGGATTGTAAACCACGACAGCGTGTTATTCACAGCGACAGTAAGCTGTAACGAAGTGATCAAACTTTACAATGGTTCCGATATTTTGATGACATAGGTGACCGTTTGAGCACGGAGTGAGAATTTCTCAGGTGTTGTTGGTCCTTTTTTAGTGTTTATCTTCGGTAAAATCAATATTCGGTGTTTGATTTATCTACAAAATAATATTCATCGACATGCAAAGCGCAATGTTGATTTAACTTCTATGATGCCGAGATATTTGCAAAACTCCGGACCGCAGGTGTCTGCGGTGGGGAACAAACTAGCTGAGAGAAAGGTGAAAAACGAAGGACCCGCATGGTGTGGTGATGAAAGCGTTACTCCCCGGAAAGGACAACAGCGCGTGTTCGTTGCCCACCGCAGACACCTGCGATCCGGAGTTTTGCAAATATCTCAGCATTATAGAAGTTATATTTCGTAACATACCCTGCCGTTAAAAAGAATATGAACCTACACCTAAAACTTTGGGAGAACACCTACAACTGAAGGAAGTAGAGAATCACGTCAATCACGGATTGACAACACTCGCAGGTGTCATCATCCACGAAGGAGAATAATGAGTTAACAACGAGGGAATGAAACGAATAGAAAACTTCTTGGCCTGATCACAACTTATGATACTTATGTAAACAGCTTTTTGTTTCGGTATCAAATGCAACAAGACAACAGTTTTTCTCGAAACTCTCGCGAGAATCCCTGCGTTCGGTTTACGTAAGCTATGAGTGAATTATAAAGTAGTTCTAGAATTATTACCTAAATTAGAGAACCAAATCCTCACCCTGTTTTCAACACCGAAAACTGTCAGCGACGTGACGTCGAATTCGAAAGGTAAGTGCCCACCAACATGTGATCCAACCTCCTTCGCATTAAAATACTGAAATCAGTGTTGGTGATTGTAATACTTGATCTTATCTTGCAAAACGAAGTTACATGGTCACATGTAACGCAGTGATAAGAGTTGTGCAGCATACAAAGGTCATTGTTTCGTTCTCGCGCTCCAAGCAAATCAAGATTCACGGAGTAGGGGAACATTCGCTTGATACATCAGTAAGACTCCGAAAATCACTATGTGAGCCAAATACGCACTCAATAACCACCGCATTGGCAAGAATGGAACCGAATGCATGGCAAACTTCTAAGGCACTGATGAAAGCCGGACGCTTTACCTCTCATTTCATATGTGAAAGTACATTTAACCCAAGGATTTGGAGGAATATTTCTTGAATTCTTCACTAGTTAAATACAGCAACAAGGATGCTGAAATATGAGCAGAACTCAGACTTCAGTTGGGCTTCTCACTCGCGACTGCCTTTAGCTGGAGCTGACGTGCTATCCACCACACTAACCGAGGCTCATGCATTGTCCTCTTCTCAGACATGCTTTTACTCTGTCGGTGCTATTAATAATCATCCATGAACAGGAATGACCTGGAGAGCATAAATTGGCAATGGACCCAGTCAAATTGATGATGATCGAGCAAAAACATGGCTAAGAGAGAGGCTGTTTCAGAATGTAACAGGAATTTAGTTAACATCCATAATCTGCATCATTTGTTGCTTTTTGGCGATTTCTGTGATATTTTCGAATTTTCAAGTGTTCAATGGCGATTATTGAGTAGCACGAAAACAGTACATTTAAGTTGTAATACAGCTTATATATAGTATAATAACCACAAAACATAACGGGAACGTCACTGCATTGTCAACCGTTGCCCTTGTTTCCATGGCTTTACATCTTCATGTTCATACGGGAACAATTTTTTGCTTCCCAGACGAGTAATGTTTTCAAGAACGATTCTGAACAATTTCAGGAATGATGCGTAGCCCTACCAGAATACACTAGTCGAGGGATAAAATAAAAAGCTTTCGGCGATCCCTCGATAAATCCCTGAGGGATGCACCATGCATCCGACTTCATTAAGCATCGTTTCGAGGTGAGTGAATGCATATCGGGCCTTTACACTTGTGGTGGCCTAGCGATGTAAGGAGTCAGTAAATAAAACTGAATCACAAGCGCCGAATTGTTAGCATCAAAGTACTGCATATGCTCGTCATAATACTCATATTAGTAAGTTCTAACTTGGGGTGGGGATAGCGCGGTTGTTAGTGATGCTGTCGATTAGAAAACAAAGGCGCTATTTCTGTCTCCGCCTCGATGCTGTTCTCTACTTCACGTGGGAACACCTTAGTCCGGCCATCTCCAAGACTTCAGGGAGATTTGACTCAATCAGCACTCTGCGGTAACCATGCAGAAGACGAAATCCTCAAGCAGCAGCTGAAACAACAAGCAAAATGTTCGAAGACCAATGAAGACAATGAGTGCGATGAAAACGAATCAAATGGGGAAAAGTGCTGAGATCTGAACAGCGGATGTGAAAAAGATCATGTAAGAAAGAAGATCTCAACTTCTTCATTCCCTTTCATGTGGGAAAATTGGTCAGCAACAGCCATTAAGTGATGTTTTTTTGCCAGAAATTTTTGTTTGTCCATTGACATCACAGTAATCTTCCCCATCTATGTTCGAAGCTCCACGTTGATATCTTTGGTACTAGAATGCTGAGAAGAGAGCTCATATCGTACCCTTTCGTAAATTGCTGGCAGCTCCACATATCCATGGCGGCTTCGTTTTTTTCGTTGGCAATGTTCTGACGAGTCGAGTCATTTCAGCAGTTGAAAAATAAAGACATTTTTGTAACAAGGAAAAAGCATACAGAGGAGCGCATCATGTAGCTTAGGATGCTAAGCATGATCTCTTGAGGACACAGGACATAGTTATAAGGCAAAAGCGTAAAAGTCTTTGGTGTTTATTAAAGGATGCACCCTGCATTGGGCTTCGTTAAATCTCGTGGTAGAGACTGCAAGCATATTTTGGCTATACAACGAGATTCGATAACTTAGGTATGTATCGAGTATTTCTATCATCCGCGACACATCTGATATTAATCTGCCTATCTCGGAGGGATGAGAGATTAGTTATCCCTAGGTTAGGTATCGAACCAATGACCACGTGTATATCTTAGAACTCATATAACCACTGCGTTACACGTGCCCTAGTCACAGAGTAACACCAATATTCGATGTATTCTGACTACAAGTATAATCCTGCGATTCGTACTCCGAACAGCACCATATCACTTAATGCTCTGAATTGGGATTAACGTAACATTCACCATAGGCGAGCTTGTCATGAAACAATTTATGAACAAAAGAAAAACGGAAAACTCTGCTGTTAATTATCTGCATTTCATTCTAATAATATCACGGAACGTAATCAATGAAAAACAGCAAATATGGCAAAAAAGTAGTGATGAACTCCATTATTTCCGCTATATCTGATTCGTTACAAAGCAGTAAGTCACTAAGCATACCACTTTTGCGTAGTAGTTGACGCTGCCGAATCGGAGAACGATTCGTTCACCGATGTCGCGTTGGCGGACGATGATCGCCGTCTGATACCACACCCAACCGACGTGATCCCGTAGTTCGGCGCTAGCCGAAAGATCATTGTAAGCCGACGGTACTGGCATCATGGTTGCATTCTGCAACGTTACAACAACTCCAAAATGGGACTGTTAGGAATATTCGACTATTTATGGAATAATTTAATAAAACGACGCTGAAAAGTTGAAAGACATCGCTGACAGTCACATTTGTATGCATTTGTAGTCAAACTTTCAGCATATATATTTTATCTCTGATGTGATTTTATAAGCTCATAACTCACTAAAAACTTCGATAAATCCATTGTGTACCACAGTCGCTTCAATCCGACATCGTCTGAGTTCATGGGCTCCTTCACAAATGTCCATAACCCGTCCAACAAGTCAACTGTTCGAATTTCGTTTTTCTAAAAGACGCATACTTATTTTCTTCAAAACTTGTTTACTACCGTTTTCCTCCACAGCGCTCCTTCAAGATGGAACTCACTGCGGTTAGTAGCGAGGCAGAGTGGCACACCTCCAGGTGGCGGATAAGAGGTTAATTGTAGACCAGCGATTCCTTGACACAGAGGTGGATGCAGGATAGGAACTCATTGATTCTGTTTCTCCAATTTGACATATACCCTTTGTGTTTACGAGGACGTTTTCATGTATGCGTGCGTGGATGTATTCTCGTTTATGGGGATTGCATTTAAGAGTCAACCAAGCAAAAGTCTGCAATCAAATGACTAGGTAATACATGAAAGCTGTTAAAAATCGTCTCCAACAAATAAATTCCTCGTCTACTTTGCGAGAGACTGGCAAGACAGCTCTGAGCAAATCCACCCCACACTTCCAGAGCTCAGCAAACTATAATAGTAAATGCTAAACACAACAAAATAAGCGGACCAAGTTGCCAAAGATAAGGTGGACCAAAGACGTAATGTATTTGAAACAGAATTGATGGATAAGAAATGCTGGGATAAGAAATGCTGGCGACTGGATTCCTCGGGATATCTAATCGCACAGGAGGAAGACCGCCGATCTCACAGTTGATGTTTTCACGAAAACCCTAGGAGAAGACATAATGCTCAATGATTCCCTATGGCGAGCAGAACCCACCGGACTAATCTTGCACACCACACAAGAGGTGACAGTGATGCTATTTTAGTAATTTGATGATCAAAAAATAACTGTTGTAGATGAATCATTGTTAAATCTCGAGAAGAAGCTTGGTGTTTAGCTGGATCATAAAGGATGTGCTGATTCGATCCTGAATGAGCAACGATACATAAGATATAGAGGTTCTAAAAACGAGAAGCGAATAACAATGTTAAAGACATTCTAGCTAATTTTCAAATCTTGTGTCCTTTATGGAGAGTCTTTCACAATTATACAACCTTCCAACTCTCATCGCTATAAATGCATCTGTGTAACACTTTCTTAATAAAAAAGATGCAGTATGTAAAGTGTCGTCATGCAGAGATCTTCTCTCCAAAAACTCTAGTGGACTGATTACATTTATTCGTATTGTTAGAGGACCATTGTCTTCGATAGAAATTTAGTGAACTTCACCGTTTTGCGCAAATTGACATGACGGAAAAAATCGAGACCACCGTCATGCTTAATTTATTATTATTCGATCTAAAACTGATCTTAAAGGTTATAAGGCATTTGTAACCAGTCATTTAGCAAGCCATAAAGCACACAATTACTGATATTGGTTACTAGTAAGGTGTGTAGTTAAAAGATCACCTGGACGGCCAAAATGGCTGCGCATAGTGGAGTCAGGCCGATGACGAAAAGTGCCTTCTCAGTCATACCTGACATCAGTACACATGGAAGAATATTTCCTACGTGGTAGAAATACAACGTGAAATATTATGTAGAAACGAGAAACGAAGCGTTATTCTGAAATAAATCAAATTTAGTTGTGCATGAATTGACGTAGTGAAGAGATTTCTGGCTTACGATGAGATTGAGAATGCTAAATAACCTTAGTTTCTTCTTTATTATGAAACACAGGAGAATTCGGGTTTCGAAACGCCGGAAAATCACTACTATCCACCATCAGCATCCTGCATAAAAGGGCATCACCGAGTGAGTATGCCTCATTCAAGAGATCGTCCGCTGAGGAAGACACAACTCGATTTGAAGACGAAGACGCCACATCGAGGCGAAGAAGAACCGTGGACTATCGACTAGGATCATCGGTTCCGACGAAGACGAAGACGTCGAAACGTTGGCCGAAATAGATTTTTTAGTTGCAATATTTAACCTTTTCTTTATTGCCTATTATTTTTTCATAGTAGGAAATTTTACCCGAAAAACATAACCTCGGGTTCGAATCTGGCCTGGAGTTCCACGTTTCGTAGACATCTCGGCGTCATTGCCGTTTCTAGTTAATTCATTTCGGTTTTTATTCGAAATACTACATCGACCTAATTTGCCCAGCCTATTATTCTAGCACTCTGTTATGTAGTGGAGATGTGGGCTGATACTTCAACTACGTCAAGAATACTGCGCACTACACATAGAGTGTTTGAACGATGTCTTATGAAATATTACGATACCGTCACACAACATATAGCCGAAATGCTTAGCTTCGATTTTCGAAATTTGTCTCATCCTCGGGATTTAGCAAAATATTCATCGATAGTGACACATAAATGGGCCGGTTATCTAATGAGAAGAAAAGAAGACCGACCGACGAGCAGAACTGCAGAGCAGACTCCAAGAGGATGCAGACGTACCCTAGGACGGCCACTTACACGTTAGGAGGGCGATTTCGCAACTAGAGACAATAAGCTGTATTCGCAGCCACAGTTGCTTTATAAATCACGATACGAGCTTCGCACGCACCATCATGCTGGAATAAAACAACCTTTACGGACAATAAATGCGAGGGAAAGAAACCAACTGAAAATGTGGTGGGGTCTGCAGAACTCTTGGAGACGGGATGTCCAAGTACCCAGGTAAGTACTGTTCACAGGAATCTCTGCAGTCTTAGATGAATGTAAGTCATAAACCAGCACATCTCCCTACAATCCTACAAAGGGTTGTAACTATCCGTAGTGGTGAAGACGTGGTAACGCTAGGAATTTCAGGGAAAACCACTCTTGGTCGTCATTCAGCAGTTTCATTCAGAACAGAGTGCAAAGCTAAATTCACGACTTAATGGTCACACGAGTAAGACTTTTTCCGTCCATGATAGTTTTAATACAACGAATGAACGTTGAAAGCAAAGGCTTTCCTATTTTGTGCGATGGGTTGTCACCTAGATATTCAATCGTTTGCTGCTAATTACCCACAGCAAGTTACCATAGCATAGTAGGAAAAGATAGTTCTGACTAAGCGTATTTCAGAGTTTCAAATATAGAAGGTATCCGAACACCATCATCCCATTCACGCATGCATCAGTTTCCTTTTATACATTGTGATTTCAATTCATTCTCAACGTTAATGCTTCATAATGCTCATTTTTGTGCAATTTGATTCACTTTGGCGTACGAGTGATACAGTGTTTAGGGATGCCTTGCAACACACTCATTGCCGCCGATTCAAGCTTACCACGGGATACTTAACCTTTCTTTCGTTTTCTTTTTGGGTGACCAAATTCTTGCTAAACTTGTGTATAGGAATATTCCCTCCGACTTATAAAGGTTGACTGACGAGAGTCTGCTAGTGATGAAGACCTGGAAACGCTTTAACAGAGACATTGAGGATCTTCATCGAAATAGACTTGACCAGCGTTGCAATGGATTCATTAGGAAAACAAAATTCTCCAGCTTTAAACGAACTCACATGCAAATATGAAGACATTCGTGAATGACAAATGCGAGGAAATTAAGTGAATTAAATAAGTGATAAGATGTGCACTATATGAGATGTCGAATGAAATGCACCGCAACCGAAAAAGAAGATCATATTGGATGGAGCGCCGAGTGAGAATAGTTCATTGAAGCAATTCTCCACTCCACTGAATACTACTCGCTATGAAGATCGGCTGTGGACGGTCAAGTTGAATCATCCGGCTCTAAAGAGGGCCGAGGCACCGAAACTTTAGCACAGTGAGGTAACAGTCTTGTATTGACTTAATCATATATGAGAAAATTAACTAGTTTTGCATTAATACGCAGGGCCCTATGCTTACATCTGCGTACCAGTGGCATCAGTTTTACACCTAATTTCTCGGTGCATTTGCTACGAAACGATGTCAACAATCTCCTACGCTTCTAGAACATTTCGAACTCTTGGATACGAAGAGGAAAAAACTTGTCTACTATACAACTGCATTGCTATTTCCATCTGATGTACTGTTTCACAATATGTATGAATTAGTGTCGAAATTTCTGCTTAACCTATTCTACAACAGCCATGATCCAGTGATCAAAAATGAATTAACAAGCAGTAACTGGTTACAACGGGTACGCGTGGCGTAGTGGTCGGAGGCGCTCTTCACACGTGGGATCACTACGGCTGCAATTTGGGCGTCAGCACTTTTGGCTCCTTCCCTTTTGTAGAAAAAAGCAATCTTGCTCGAAGCAAGCGGTGGTACGATCTCGTGTGATGTTTTGAGACAACAGGGTCATCGTTTGGTTTCTAAAACAGAACCTATTTATCATTATTATTATTATTATTATTATTATTATTATTATTATTAACAATAATATTATTATTGTTATTATTACTATTACGCAGTCCATTTCATTATGATGCCCTTAATTAGAGGTGAGTGAGGCGGCCTTAACGCAATGGTTAGGGGCAGCCTGCATTACACATTGGATCGATTCCACGCCCCAGGCTCACCAAACCCTCCATCATCCAAGATCAGTAAATTGATACTAGACTTGTCTGAGAGGATAGCAGCACTGTCTTGATACATCGCTGGGCCACCGCAAGTCATTGTAAAGGCTGGGTATGCATTCAGTCACCTTTAACGATACTTAGAAAGAAGTCGAATGCATGGCGCATCATTCAGGGAATGATCAATGCTGAGAGCTTTGGCCTTTTTTTTTTACCATTCATTAGGAAACTCACACGTCAAACGTCGGAGTGGAGCTTCTGGAATTATGAACTTCTACGGGTGGTCTTGCTCACAATTACGACCTCAGGCAGTCGCTCACCCTGTTCATTTCATTTTAATCCACTGGATGTGGAGGTTTTTTTTAACATTCTGCTGGGTCTATTCGTAATGTTGAAATAATCAACAGTAACATTTCGAAACCGACCCTCCCTGAACCTCGGTGTGACTAATCAATATGTCACTGAGTGAGGATGCCTCAATCGAGAAGATGGCTCACTGAGGAAGATCTGGCTCGACACGAAGGCGAAGACGCAACGTCGAGGCGAACAACAAGCATGGACCATCGACTCGGATCACCGGCTCTGAGGAAGACGAAGACGTCGAAACGTTAGCCGAAAATAAATATATTTATCAACCTCGTGCAAGCTTATCAAGAAAGAACCAACAGTAACCTTAAAGAGGGCTAAAGTACGAGCACCCAAATCCATGTAGAACGCTTTCATTAAACCTTGATGTCGGTGGGTAAACGACGAAGCGTATCAAAGCCGATACTGGCTCAGATCTCTTAATAGCGAGTTGGGTTACTATTTGCTCAAAGCAGTCGATGTTAATCGCCAAGGTGCTGTGTGGAAAAATATGCTTTACTCCCTATTCTTCCGCAATAATGATTTTTTTTTATGAAATATGTCACTTTAGACATTTTGAGCGAGTTTGCGTTTGATCGTCCGACACTTTTTGAAACGAAATTAATGTGTATGATTGCTTTTTTGAGAATGGTAGTGTTTTTCATATGGACAGTCATCAGTTGAGTTATATCACAGGCCAGAGTGAGGTTGAAAGTAGTATAAAAGCAATTATGTTCAAATTATCAAGGAGATTCCAGTCTACACAGTGAGTCGTAGCAAAGGGTTGGAAATTGAAATAGTATGCCAGCATTCTGTAGAATTTCTGTATAACGGTTCGTTGAAAAGATAAGGACACACGGTCCTCAGCAGTTTACAGCGAGTGCATTATTCCTTCCCATTCCTCCCATCCTGTTTTATTGCAAGGAAAAAAAAAAGAATTTATATGAAGGGTGCGATGGTGCAAGTGGAACTTTGGGGTAAGGGTGACAGATAGGCAGAAACTTCTGGATTCTATCATATAGTCTATTACGTCGCTCTTCAGCAAAAAACTACAATTTTGCGAGAGCAATTTTAGAATTGTGGGTTGCCATGAATGGTCTTGATATCAATAAATAAATGCGTGTGGCGCAGTGGTGGGAGGTGCCCTTCGACGCACACGTGGGATCGATCCCCGCGCCCATGGCACGCCAAGTCTTCCATCCCTCCGGGGTCGGCAAATTGGTATCAGACCTGTCTGGGAGGATAGCAGCACTGGATCGATACATCGGTAGGCCACCGCGAGTCATTGTAAAGGCCAGATATGCATTCAATCGCCTCCAACGATACTTAGTGAAGTCGAATGCATGGCGCATCCCTCAGGAATATATCAACGCCGGGAGCTTTTTTATCCTTGTACCGTAGTGTCTTGCTGGACTAAATCTCGCTTGTTCAGATGCTTTATCATTCAAAATAGATAATTCAACGAAAAACAATTTTTGTGGGCTTTAAAAAAAATCAGATTTTCACCATGCTAGAACAAAGATTGCTGTATATTATTTGTAGAGATTTGTAGATTCTAATGGTTGTCATTTCAACAGATATAGCTATATATATATATACATATATATATATATATATATATATGCCTCACCAAAATTGTGATAAGTACGAATTATTCAAGGAAACGTAGA